GGTTTGATGTTCCTGCCTGTCATTGTAAATTCTAATAAAAACCTGTTTTAACAGACAAGTCTGTTTTTAACAGACATTTTTAAAACTGCCAAAAACTTCAGTTGATCATAATTTTATAATTTAAATGGGTCTTAGTTTTTTTATGTGTTTTTTTTTTTTATCTAATCCTCAAAGACTTGCAACGTGTTTCATGTTGCTTGAATTATAAATGCAGAAAAGAAATTCACTGGAGAACTCTGCACCCCCAGAAATGCTACTAAAAGGCAGCACTTAGCTACCGATTACAGTCTGTGTTCGCTGCACTCGCTATATGAAAATTTAACAGGAAGATTCTGAACTGAAGCCATCCGTGACAAAAACTCAGAACCTGGCTGTGGGAGTTTCTCAGTTGCTCTGTGTCATCTCACCATAGTGCAAAACCTACCTGCTCTTTTGCACTTTTGACTTATTTCAATTTCTTTTCCTGCTGTTTTTTGTCACATCTCAGAGCTCAAGAAGCCAGAAGATTTTACTGCTAAAATATACAGATACATCCACATTATTTGTAAGTGTGTCTTTTATTTTAAACAACAAGCATATATTATTGCAGACATCAGAGCTAGTTTCCACAAAAAGGTTCAGAGAGGAAACTGGAGAGTCAAAATAATCATTTATGGCATCTTGACAAACATAGACACTCTCATCAGCTAATACTTGTTAAAAACATTGTCCCTGGGACATAAGTGAAAAGGTTATTTGATGAGCAATTGGCCATATTTATGTATCTATATCATCTGCTGTGCTCAAGTGTGAAAAGTTGCCTTAATATATGCAGATGTGCATAACTCTCTTCTTAGGCTGCAATTCTCTGCATGATTGTCCTGGTCAGTCTCCACTGTAAATTAACTTCAATCAGTATATAGAATTCTTGTCATGTTGATATAATTTTCTGCCTTTTAATGTCAACGCATTTAGATTATTTGGTTATTCTGAATCTCGAAGGAAGATTTTAACAAACTTTAACTTTGAGGTTAAATTTCGTAGGTAAAGCCACAAAGATAGATGCTTTAACCATTTCAGACATTTCTGCTGCTGGCTCAAATATAGTTACACAATGCCTCTTTAATCCTCATTTTCATCAGTGTTGGTTTTGATTTCATCTAAAAATCTGTCGGCTCTTAGAGCTCGGTGTCTGTGTGTTCAAAAATGCCTTGCTTAGATATTTGATGAGCGAGCACAGACTTCAGATGTGTTCTCTCACATCTTTTCTTTTCACTAAACAAGACTAAATGGCATTTTTGGTAAAAGTTAAATTCATGTTAAATTTATGTAGCTCATCGTTTCAATACAGTCATGTTTTTGTTTTTTCAGCCAAGCTTGTCAACAAAATGTTAATTTTGTATATTTACAGATAATTTTGGCTCTGGCGCTGACGAACAGTATCACACAGTATCATGGCAACATGAGTCTCTGCACGTGTCTTTTCATGCACTGAAGTGTGAGTGTGTAGGAGGCTGCATAGCTGGTAAAGTGGGCCCTGAAATAGTGCATATCATGAGTGTGTAAGACCCTGTGGAGGTTATGGGGTCACACTGCTGCATTGCAACAAGCTCTGTGTTTTTGTGACTTATGTAATGGCATATGGAAATAAATATTTTTCATATATAAGTGTGCATAGGAGGTACATGTGTTAAGGTAAACAGCAATGGGTGGGCAGTGTTCCCTGTCTTGCTATCTTAAATCCACGTCATTAATGACACTTGAAAATACTACAACAATCTCAAAATATGAATGTCATTAAAATATGATGTCGTCAGCATCTTGTTGCTTTGAACATGGCTATTGCAAGTGAGGGGTAGATCTGACTGACAATCTAGGGCACAAAAAACGTTTAAGTGGAAGTGATTTACTCAGATCAGAAGGTCCACCTTATTTTATACTCCTTTCTTTTCTCTATTTGATCTGAAAAATACCTTAAAATACCTTAAAATGATCTGAAAAATACCTGAAGCTAGGGACTGAGATTATAAACCCATTAAGAAGTGTTTATCAAGGTTATAAAGTAAGGGAGAAATAGAGTCATTTTCCCACAGACTTGCATACATTCAGTCTCCTTCTTGCCACCAGAGTTGTTGCCCCCTGCTGGCAATTACAAATAATGCAGGTTTAAGTCACTTTATTGGGGTCACTTTTCTCTTTCCTTGGAGAAGAGAAAAGCAAAGCCAAAGCCTTAACTCTTTTATATACAGCTTACAGATACAACACACAAACTATTCTGAATGCTTTTAGTTTTGTTGCTCTATAGCTGTTTTGTAGTTACATATGACTGATTCACATTTCAAAACTAATAAAGCCATAGCCATCTTTTACATACAGTCTATGTGATCAATTCATCAAAAACTTATTTAGATACATGATATTTAACCATACGTACTGTGTTGTTTAGTTTTGGTTTTATTTACCAAGTTTCCATCTGGGAGATTCTTGGATCCATATTAATATGGTGGAAGTTAATTTATTTATTAATTCTGCAATAAAAACGACAGCCAAATCGCTCTGCCTAAAATAAGAATTGTAAGTTATAGAGCATCAGGGATAACATTCTTCTCCTTTTTATTATTTTTGTTTGTTTCTTACTGAAATGGGAAATCAATCCTCAGAGTAAGCACTGTACGCAGCTACTTATTGTAAAATGGTTCCAATAGCACACTGTGTGAATAATTATTTTTTTCATCCCTCCAAAGACACATAAATGTGTGAGCTCACCTTTTTGTGCCACCGCTTTCCCAGTGAAATCACCGGAGATGCATTTTTATGAGCATTTTATTGTATTTATGTATCTCTTTTGTGTCCCTCTCTGTAAGCACTTAGTGACATGTTTTACTGAGATTGCTTTTCAGAAAACAGAACTGGATTTAGATCTACCGCTTATTGTTAAACACAGCACGCAGGAGCAGATAATGCAGACATTCACAAGGTTATGTCCTTAAATGTCCTTATAGGCTTCTTGTTCCACTGAATGATTACACTCCCACTAACACTTTGGTAATTATTTTTTGACTGCATCAAACCTGCCAATTTCAGATTTTGCGTTTAGAGGAAGGAACGCATTGTCGGTGATTTGTGCTTGTTTGTCTTCAATTGTTCTGTTTTTTCCTTCATATCATCCAATATTCAGTTATTCAACATTCACCATCTCGCCCACTCTCTTTCTTCCTCTGTTATAATTAGCTGTGTTTGTAAACATAAAAATCACAGCCATAAAAATACAAAGAAAGTAATGCTGTGTATTTTGTGTCTGTGGAAACTCCTACATTCTAGATACTTTTGCTGCTTAACTGTTTTGGCCACAATCCTATGGTCTCTGTTAAGGAAAACCTAAATTCTACAGCACACAGTGATATAATATAGCTTTTCCCAGCTTCGTGACAACAGCTTGGGGATTTCTGTTTCTGCTTTTACCTTCACCGTTCCCCTGAGCACAAAGCTGGCTTGTATTAAATGTATTAAATGTGTAAAATGTAATTTTTAAAATTCTATAAATCACATTGGAAATGTTTGTTTATACCGAAGACTACATTTAAAAGATATGCAATTTTTAAATGGGGTGATATGCTTGAACCCAGAATGCAGAGGGGGTGGGTGTATGTGTAGAAAACTGGTGTACACACTAAAATTATAAAGCTCATCTGCAACCCTGGTTTTATTAGATTTATTAAAGCAAAGTGGAAAAAAGTATTTAGACTTTTTACTTTTTCAGTTATGTACAACTTATAATTCTACTTAAGTAGCTAATAGTTCACTCAAAATTACACTTTTCAGAATCCTATTTATGATATTATTGGATTAAAATTAGCAGCTTATTGATGTGTGTATATATTTAATGTTACAGCTGTTGATGTTTTTAATTAGCTATGTATAGCACTATAGCTTTATCTAAAATGATCCAATGAATCTGAAAAATACCCAAGTAACTACAGCAATACTAATAAGTATGTGCAATTAGTAGCAAGTGCAATAAGTATATTAAGAATATAGTTGAATACATTCAGAAAGCAGCACAATACTAGTACAAGCACTGAAGTAAATGTACTCAGTTACATTCCCATTGGTACTGATCTGTGCTCTCATCCAATGTGGACTGTAAGATGAACAGTACTGTACTTCAATGTCTTTGGTGGGGTGGCGCTTGGGGGAGGGGGGGGGGGGGGATCATAGCTCGGGAGGGCTGATCCTACTCCTACTCTTTTCTGTTGTGTAAGCCTGAATAAAATTTAAGCAGTTGAGTAATCAAACTAACAAAAGAAACCAAAAATTTAAAGCTGGCTGTAAACAAGCTGACTCGTTACCAGCACGTCGTCAAATCTTCAACCAAACCTAAGTAAAAAGTCTAAGTAAAAGCCTCATGACACAGTATCAGCACCAAACCTGACTGATGTTCAAATCCCTGCACCGTAGCTTCACAGCATGATGACGAACCTACCCATACGAGCAGAGGCTGTTATAATAGATTTAATGCCTTTGGTATAGGAAGCACATAATATAGCTGTTAATATAGTGTGTATTCAAAACTGGCCTCATTTGACTATAATCCTGGTTTGGTTTGATTCACCCTCCACTAAAACGCCCACTCTCTTTTTCTTTTCTCCCTCTAGCTCTTTATTCTCTCTCTCCTCTTCTTTCTCCCTCCTTCCTCTTCTTCTCTCCTCATTTCTCTCCATCTCTCCCACTCTCTTTCTTTCTTTCTATCTCCCTCGCTCTCCCTGTCGCTCCGGCTCTCCCTCTCTTACCCCTCCCCCATCTGTGGGAAGCTGCCGTTGTGCGCATGTCGCCGATGAGTCAAATTGTGGAGGCAGTGCATGCACACACACATACACACACACACATATCCTGTCTCCCACGAAGGCATCTGTTTCAGTCTGTCTCTCTGTGAGATGCAGCACCAACAGAGAGAGGGGGAGACAAGAAGAGGGAGGGAGAAAGAAGAGAGGAGGGAAGAATAAGAAAAAAGAGGTGTGAGAACAGAGGCACAGAGCAGAAAGAAAGGAGAAAGAGAAGAAGGGCTCAAATAAAAAAAAATTAAGAGTGAACAAAGATAAAGCAAAGACAAAATACAAAATACAAGACTCTTCTTCAGAAGAGGAGAGGATGCTGCTGCAGCTGAGCATCTATGCCTGACTTCTGAGGAGTTCTCAGCTCGGACATGACTGACATGCAGCATTCCTGCATCTGAGCATCTCTAGTCCGTGCATGTGTGTGAGAGAGAGAAAGTGAGGGTTAATGTGTGTGTGAAGCCATGGCGAGTGCTCAGCCGGGGGTCCACGCGTTGAAACTCCAACCTCCTTCCGTCTCTCACACGCTGAGGAACGGAAGCAACTTCATTAAATGGGATGAGGTAAGGACTGATTTTCCTCAAGCACAAGCAAATAGTTTTATTTAATTCTACTACTTGAAAAAAATAAGGAGGCTGAGGAAACAGTCAAAAAATTGAAACTAGCTGAATTAATGTGGAGCGTGAGAAATTGAGGAGGAAGAGGAGGAAATGTGCCATGTTGTCAGATGTGTTTACTATTCATTTGCTGATTGAGCTTTGGCAGTAAGTACCTGTGGATCTTACCAGTGAGGCAGATAGTGTGTGTGTGTATGTAGGTGTGTGTCTGAAATGTGTTTCTGATCAGTCTTCTATCCACCAGTATTCATGTACTGTGTGTGTATAAAGCCCACACATACTTACTCCTGTGCCCTTCATGAGCACAGTCAAACACAAGGTATTTGCAGAGCTGTGTGTGTTCCTCTGTGTGCATGTGTGTGTGTTGGTATGCTGAAGTACAGAGCGCTGACAATGAGGAGGAAAAAAAAATGCTGTCCGGTTGCCATGGTAACTGACATGGTTACCAGCACCTAAACAGATCAGGTGTGTGTGTGTGTGTGTGTTTATTATCACTGCCTTGAGCTTTATAATGTCATGGATCATACTTATGGAGAAGTACTTAAGAACTAATCCAATGCAGAGCTGAATCCATTCACAATAGCTTAAACTTGTGTGTGTGTGTGTGTGTGTGTGTGTGTGTGTGTGCGTGCGTGCGTGCGTGCGTGCGTGTGTGCGTGTGTGTGTGTGTTTTGATATTTGAATCTCTCAAACGTGTAGAGCCGGGCTTTATGAAAAATAGAATCAGTTGCTATGGCAACAGGTGACAACCAGGGAGCTAGTTAACCAGCTTCTGAGCTTCTTCTTCTTCTGGTTTTTCTTCTTCCAAATGTAGGCTGTGTTAACACTTTCAAGAAAACAAAAATCCTGCAAAAGAATGTGAAGAACTTTATAAGTATGGACATCTAATGTTTAGAGGACTGAGCTCAAGCTGGTTCCTGTGCCTTCTGAGAAATAGGGATGGAGTAAAAAGTCCCTCCAAGGGTTAAATATATGCCCTTTTGAATAGCTATATTAATTATAGCACAGCAGGTAAGAGGTATAGCTTTGCCAGATTTTATTGACTAGCATTATGAAACAGTTTGTGTACGATCAGGAAAACAAAGAGAAAAAGAAGTACCATAGAAATATAGTGTTGCCGAGGTTAGCAATTGTGCCACATGAAAAGCAGATGCTGATGTGTGACAGACAAACCGTCTTAGTAAGAGCCTTAGTAAGAGTTTTAATGCTAGTCATTTTCCATGCATGCAAACAATTAATTATTTAAATTATTGTGTACCCCTGTATATAATTTTGCACCATTAAATTAAGGTGCAACATTCTGAGCTGGGACTAAAGACAAGTTATAATGATAGAACTGACGAGGATACCTTTCTTTTCTCCCTGTGACATCTGGAATAGTCCAGCTTAAATCTTAAATCAATAAATTCCATTATTCTCACTCACAATTCACAGCTTTTTACGTATGAGGAGAACATATGTTCTTTTCTAAAGATTCTGAAGAAATATGGGAAATTTTAGAATTCAGTGACTAATTTAGTGTTGTTCAGTTACTGTATTTAGTTACTGTGATAGGTGATAATAGTTGGTTTATTAGGTGGTATTCCTTCCTTGTGGTGGACTTTTGGCCACTAGTGGATATTCCAGGCTCTTTTTTGCATTTGTATCCCTAAAATATATTTCATACCTTTTCATATTATTTAATTTTTTTTGTCCATTATTCAGTGGTTAATAGACAGATTTTTTAAACCTGGTTCTGTTTTATTGTGATTTTTCTGTGCTTGTAAGTTTGTTCAGCAATGCACTTGTGATGTATTGACTGAATGACAATAAAGGAATCTGAATTGGTCATCAGTGCCCTTAGCTTCTGTTGGTATTGATTTCAGCTGCTTTCCTCAAAGAGGGGATTAGTTTATTTCAGTAGCCTATACCCTTTTACTTTGCTAACGGATATTTTGCCTGTCATGGCTACAAGCTGCCAAACTACATTAACCTTTCCAGTTGTCCCTGGGGCATCATTTCATGCGGGTGTATGGGTCGATTATACGCAAGTTAGCCCACATGTCAATAGTATGAGCTACTTTTTTCAAGTGGGTGTGTTTTACCTATACTCTTTTCCTAACCCTAACCATGTACTGGTTTTCTGGCAGTGTATAGTATAAAGCAGCAGCCCAATTAACCTATGTGCCAGGCATTTTTTATGGTTTTCATTTAACTAATACCTAAATAGATCTCTGTTCCTGTTAATAATTTTTACATATTAACAAAACAGTTTGAGCAGTTTTGTAGAAGTACAAAACTGATATCCATTCACAGTAACTGAGTCCAGAACCTTGTTAGGCTAAAGCCTTCACTACTGTGTGCAGCTGTGAAAGATGCAAAAGATTCATGCTGGAAGTGGGAAACTGTCACTGTTTCACACCTCCCTGCTCTTGTTCTGCACACAGATAATACAGCTGTTGGGTTTGAGCATCAAATCAATTAAGGTTTAGCTTATAAGAAGGTGGACAGCACTATATTAATTAGATGTAACATTAAATTGTATTGGAACATCTTATTCCTGTGCCTCAGACAAGATTGTTTTCAAGTCCGTGTCAAGGTACCAACAACAAAGGACACATTACGCATAGCATGGAGGCATCCAGTAAAATGTAGCATTACAAGCCCCGGGATGAGAAGGCACTGGCATGCCATAGTCTTTGTTTGTGTGTGCCCTTTTAGGAAGATTCAGTGTTCTAGGACAATGAGAACAAAAGATTTGAAAGTGGAGAGAAATCAGTCCAATCCGTGCTGGTATGGAATAGGAAGAAGCAAAGCCGGTGAGCTAGTTTAAGCAGATGAGTTGAGCTGCATGGTATCATGCTTCACTCTGCTCAGATCATACATTAATGACATGCAGTTTGGTGGTTTATTTAAGCAGCAAAGTTTCCCATCTCTCTCATTTCTGACATGTTGATATTTATAACTCGAGAGGTCGAAAGCAACCAATGTTACAACTATAATCTTTAACAGCATTAGTCAACTTAACAATATTATTATTATTTTATTATACAATAATCCTTTAGTAGCCTTCATTATTTCATTGAATCTCCTATTACTGAACCAGCAAAAATATTGGATTCAATTTAACATATACTGTCAATATGATATGATGTCTAAAACCTTTTGGTTGAATTGTCTTGTTGTAACTATAACTATAAGTCACAGCTCCCCGGTTACAAAAGCTGCAGGTTAATCAACTTTATAAAGAAGTCTTAAGTTTGCTTCACCAACTTTGCAAAAATGACAAATTTCAGCTTTAATTTTTGATGCTATGCTGTCTTCTTCTGGCGTCACTGGCATGTTTGTGTTGTTCGATATTTAGACTTTTTTGCTGTTATTATTGATTTTGTACAGCTTAAGTTGCTTTATTTTTGATTATTAACTTATTTTTGATCTGTCACATTAAATCTTTTGAACCTTTTTGTTTGATTCATGGCAACTGAAACTGTTAAAAGATTCCATCAGTACCTGTAATAAAGTCACTCCAACCCTATCTCTGTTTTGCAGAAAAGCAACTGAAACCACTCTGATTAAACTTTTACTAAACTGTATAGATTCAAAGCTTTACATAGTCACAAATCTTTGCACTCCCTTGAAGCATATTCAATTTGGCTGCAAGCTTCAAAACATCAGTTTATCAAATAATTTGGGGGATTCAAACTGCTTAACCCCATATAAAAAATACTTAGTAAGTATTATTTTTGTCCATTCAATACCAGATATTTACACCAGGCTTCAAGGTGCTTTTATTTTTAACCAGTAATTAGCCACAGAAACCGGTCCTCTGAGACACCTGCTGTGTATAAAATGCTATGACTTTTCAAACAGCAAAACATCAGAAGAGCTGCTCTGTCTGAATCCACCTGGAGCCAATTAGGAACTATCATGGTGGGTTAATATGGATAGATAGTTAGTGTTATGACAGCTGAAAAGAACTTCTGTAACATGAAAATGAAATCGCTTAGTGTTCCCTGGTTAAAAGAGGTCACGCTGTAGTGAGTAGTAAAATAAGATTCTGGACACTTACAGTATGAATCACTATCACTTCATGCCACCACAGACAAGTGTATTCTTACATAATTTTCTCGCCCTACCAAGTAGAAAGTAGAACATTTTTATGAGTGCATTAGCTACGTAAATGATTTTTCGCTTGAGTTTTTATGATGTTTTACGGTTATTTTCATTCTCTCCACCTGTCTCCCTAGGATTTGTCCACTGTCACTCCAGTGACTCTGCATGTGGATCCACATGGATTTTACCTCTACTGGACCGACCAAAACAAGGTTAAGCACAAAAATCAGCTGTCTTAGATATAATTCTCTTAGACTGGCTGTAGATATTAAATGATGAGGAACAAATTAAGCTTGAAACCTCAAAAAGTGACATTAATTGATTTGGTGACTCATCAATATTCAGTATTTCAGTCATTAAAACTGGAACTTTTTTCAGACTAGATTCTGAATCAAAGATGAATCATTAAATGTTTCATTACCTTCTTATTTTATGCACATTTGACTAAATTAATTTGCTAATGAAGATTGTTTTTTTAAATTAATTTTCCATTTTAAGTTTGATTAAATGTTGTCTGAATCATTTTTTGTGCACCTGTGAAGCAATTTTATTATTTTTTTATACACAAAAATATAACCAATACAGTCTAGCTGTTAGTCTGATCTGTTTTTGCTATGCTATGTTATGTTTTGCTATAAGATGCTAAATATCTTGCTTCCACATAATCTTGTCTGTGACCTTTATCTACTACAGAAACTGCATACATATTTACAACATTCAGGTTCACTGTGCTAACAATAACCAGTTATGGTTTTGGAATGCAGAGAAAAAGATATACTAAATGCTGCAGTTGGAGATCATAGCAGAGCCAAAATGATTCCCACCATGTGTAATGATTTTACAGTTTTCTTACCTTTGAAATGGTTGCTTTGAAGTTTGTGACCACTCACAGCCAGTTCCTGTCTTCAAATGATAGTTACACTGACTTGGTCAGATATCAGTCTGAGTTAGCTTACAGTTAAATAGCAACAGGTTGGTAATTACATGCAAACTTTTTGTGATAATATGATGATTTATTGTGATAAAGCAGTGAAAATAGCAACTCTGTTGCCATCTACATACAGAGAAATTTGCATTAAACAGAAAAGTACAGTAAATACTTACATTCAAAGTCAGTCAAATCAGAACCACATAGATTTGAAACAAATATTAATAAAGGCCTCCACAAATAATGAGGTAGTTGCTGCAAGATGGTGATTTAACTGCAGAATGGCATAAACACTCAGCATTCCAGCTTTTATTTCAGGATATAACCAAAATACAGCTAGTTTGTCAACCAGCTGAGTCGAGTCAGCTGCTGCAAAGACATGAACAGCAGACAAGTTGCACTCAGCAGCACAGACTGATTCAGATTGGTTGCAACACATTGGCAAACTGTCAGTGTTCATAAATTAGACATCAATTACTTGCAAAGCCTCCCCAACCTGTTTGAGAGTGAGTCAGTCTGAGTTGGATCGTGATTATTTGGAGACAGATTGCTTCCCATCAGGTGACTTGTGCAATCGCCTTGCGATCATAAGTGGCCACCCAGACGTTCAAAAACCCAGGGGTTAGCTTTGTCACCTGAAAGTATGAAAATACATGAGAAGCACAAACTGTGTGCTATTCAGGAATTAGCTGTTTTTATTTTTTTACACACAATTCCAAGAATGTTGAAATTTATTTTTATTTTTTAGCTTTGTTAATCAAGAGGCTTGCCAATGTTAAGGTTATGTATTCATACACAAGAACTGTAGAGATACAATGTATAGTCAAAGGCTGGGTGGATACCTTTAAAAGGTATGAAAAAAGCAAGCATATAAGACAGCATACCATTGCACACACATACATACATGCACACTTTCTTTCCAGGTCGGCTTAAATCCTTAACAGGAAACAGCAGGAGGCCTTTAGCTCCCAGATAACAGCTGACTGCGTGAGTGTGTGTGTGCTCTATGTGTGGGTGTGTTTTCATTAGGACACAGAGCTGTTGGACCTGACCCTGGTAAAAGATGTCAGAACAGGCAGAAGCACGAAAACACCCAAGGTACTGTCATCTCTCTGCTTATATTCACCTCTACTTGACTCTGCACGTGTGAAATGTATGCTGTGTCCTTCCTGCATTGCAATTTTCAATCCTCCTACTGCATCTCTGTAGCCAGTGACCTCTCACCTAACAGTTGCTCCTCTTATGCAGCAGAATGTGATGTTTTATTCATGAAATTTTTAATATTTGACTTAACGTTTGCATTACTTTTTGTAGCTGACATTACGGCATTCGTGCTTTAATAATAAGTTGATGTTTTTTATTGCCTCTTTTTTCTTTCTGTACTACCATGAAGTACTTTAGATTTTATTTCTGTTACCTACTATCGTTTATGTTATATTTATTGCTTTGCTTCCTACTTCAATAGAAGACTTGTGCTTTGCTTTCATAAATAGCAAAGCATCTGATGTATTTTGTTCGAGGGCAGCCATAATATTTGCCTGACTGGGTTTCTTAATGATTTTAATCCTTGATTGTTACTGTGACTGCCTCATAAGTCTCTAATAATCTCCTCCCTCTGGTCCTCCTCTACCCCTGCTTTTACTTTGTCATCCTGAAAATGATGTGCCACCATGTGAGGAGGGAATTTAACGGAATAATCACAAGATTGAACATTAAACCGAAGCAACAAAAGGAAAACGCAAAAACATTTAACAAACCGAACCCCTGGAAAACCTTTTTTTAAAAATCAGTGATTTCACATCTTTCCTCAATAAGTACGCAAAAGGAGACATGGCTGGTGTGCCATCACCTCGTGGCATACACACACTGGGCAGATCACCTGCCATCAGGGCTAAGAGACAGACAACCATTCACAATTACTTTGAAGCCTACAAGCAATGTTGATTCAGTTAACCTAAAATGCATGTAGTGGGGTGCCAGAATACCCAGAGAGAACCCACACAGGCACACAGAAAAGCACCAGTCTGGTTGATGGATTTGAACCCAGGACCTCTTTGCCATCAGGCAACAAACTTCTTTAAGGAAATGTGAATGATGTGCTTTAAATCACTGGTAGACATGTAAACTCAACTTTCCTGAAGTCTACACATGCGGCAGCACTATTTAAGCATAACGTTTAACCCACCAGACCATGGTACTAACAGAATGCAAGACTATACTGATCTCCCAAACTGGCCTCTCATTTCTTACATTTTGCTTCCAAGGCACCAGACTTTTTAGTACTTTTTAAAATGGTCTTGAGCAATAATTCTCCAGCTATTGACTGGTGTACATAGTGTATCCGTAAAATATTTGAGGAAAGTGAACAAATGGAGGGCAAAAGAAAAAACGTCAGGTCAAAAACCTATTTACAACAGATAAACAGTATCTGAAAGTATTGTCCTTAAGAAATTAAAATAAAAATGTAGAAGACTTGACACCTGACAGTTGATTGGTTCCCCAAAGTCTCATAGAAATAGTATTAATTGAAGGGTGGCTGTCAAGAAAAAACCAAAGAAAGGAACCAGGAGAAAAGTCTGAGATGTGCCAAATTACACAAACCAAATTTGAAATGTCTGTGAAGGTTCTCAGTCACCCAGGTCATGGTAGTCTAAGGAGCTTGGAAAGAAAGGTGTCTGGACTTCTTTAAGTTTCCTTGAAGATGTTTCACCTCTCATCAGAGAAGCTTCTTCAGTTCTAAGAGTAACTGGTGGAGAGTCCCAGATTTTAAGCCCTATGGGAGTTTCCCCAAGAGGATCATGGAACCAGTGGAGAATCCATCATGTCCTGGGACTGCATTTCAGTCACAAACCAGACAGTAGCATCTAAAAAGCATCTGGCAGCAGTGTTCACAAACACACTTTCAGTCTTAGACAGAAAAACATACAACATAACACTATCAGTAAGATGGCATATAGTAGGAATGGCCTCTCCAGAGCCCGCACCTCAACATCATTGAAACACCGTGTATCATCTTGACTGGAACAAGAGGAATCTCCCTCAAGAAGCCCGGAGAACTATTCCTGAAGACTACTTGAAAGCTTGCCTAGGAGAATTCAGGCTGCGCTGAAGAATAGAGGTTGCTGTGTATACCCAGTGTTGGCTTTCAGCCTTGTTAGAATTGTACAGACTCTGATTTTCCCTTATATACTGTATTTCCATATACAGAGAGTGCAGAATTATTAGGCAAGTTGTATTTTTGAGGAATAATTTTATTATTGAACAACAACCATGTTCTCAATGAACCCAAAAAACTCATTAATATCAAAGCTGAATGTTTTTGGAAGTAGTTTTTAGTTTGTTTTTAGTTTTAGCTATTTTAGGGGGATATCTGTGTGTGCAGGTGACTATTACTGTGCATAATTATTAGGCAACAAAAAACAAATATATACCCATTTCAATTCTTTATTTTTACCAGTAACACCAATATAACATCTCCACATTCACAAATATACATTTCTGACATTCAAAAACAAAACAAAAACAAATCAGCGACCAATATAGCCACCTTTCTTTGCAAGGACACTCAAAAGCCTGCCCTCCATGGATTCTGTCAGTGTTTTGATCTGTTCACCATCAACATTGCGTGCAGCAGCAACCACAGCCTCCCAGACACTGTTCAGAGAGGTGTACTGTTTTCCCTCCTTGTAAATCTCACATTTGATGATGGACCACAGGTTCTCAATGGGGTTCAGATCAGGTGAACAAGGTGGCCATGTCATTAGTTTTTCTTCTTTTATACCCTTTCTTGCCAGCCACGCTGTGGAGTACTTGGACGCGTGTGATGGAGCATTGTCCTGCATGAAAATCATGTTTTTCTTGAAGGATGCAGACTTCTTCCTGTACCACTGCTTGAAGAAGGTGTCTTCCAGAAACTGGCAGTAGGACTGGGAGTTGAGCTTGACTCCATCCTCAACCCGAAAAGGCCCCACAAGCTCATCTTTGATGATACCAGCCCAAACCAGTACTCCACCTCCACCTTGCTGGCGTCTGAGTCGGACTGGAGCTCTCTGCCCTTTACCAATCCAGCCACGGGCCCATCCATCTGGCCCATCAAGACTCACTCTCATTTCATCAGTCCATAAAACCTTAGAAAAATCAGTCTTGAGATATTTCTTGGCCCTGTCTTGACGTTTCAGCTTGTGTGTCTTGTTCAGTGGTGGTCGTCTTTCAGCCTTTCTTACCTTGGCCATGTCTCTGAGTATTGCACACCTTGTGCTTTTGGGCACTCCAGTGATGTTGCAGCTCTGAAATATGGCCAAACTGGTGGCAAGTGGCATCTTGGCAGCTGCACGCTTGACTTTTCTCAGTTCATGGGCAGTTATTTTGCGCCTTGGTTTTTCCACACGCTTCTTGCGACCCTGTTGACTATTTTGAATGAAACGCTTGATTGGTCGATGATCACGCTTCAGAAGCTTTGCAATTTTGAGACTGCTGCATCCCTCTGCAAGATATCTCACTATTTTTGACTTTTCTGAGCCTGTCAAGTCCTTCTTTTGACCCATTTTGCCAAAGGAAAGGACGTTGCCTAATAATTATGCACACCTGATATAGGGTGTTGATGTCATTAGACCACACCCCTTCTCATTACAGAGATCCACATCACCTAATATGCTTAATTGGTAGTAGGCTTTCGAGCCTATAAAGCTTGGAGTAAGACAACATGCATGAAGAGGATGATGTGGACAAAATACTCATTTGCCTAATAATTCTGCACTCCCTGTATATTTGCACAAGTTTCAATGAGTCGCTGTGCCTATTTCCCATTTTACTAGAAAATAAAAAAATAAGTGGAAACTCAAGACTTGCATGAGCGATGATGAGACCCTCTTCAGTCAGAAAAACTGGAGAAAATGTGGAGCCCCTCTTGAGGAAGGTGACAAACATTAAATAATTTTTATTTCCTTACTTTCCACAAAAACATCTTTCTCTGTTTGATCGCCTGATTTACTATCAAGTTCAGCCTGCACTCTCTTTACACATATAACACACTGTATGTTGCAAACAACATGTCACACTGGGTAAAAATAGATGCAAATAAACTGCCTCAAATGGTCTCAGCCGTCCCCGCATCCCTCCAGGTCCCCTCACTTTCATCCGTCTCCTCTCTACAGTGCATGCCTCCCTCGTGGCTCTGATTCCACTGACAGCTTTCACTCTGTGTCATCCAATAGGAGGCTAAGCTGCGGGAGCTGCTCGATGTGGGAAACCTGGTTGGTAGGCTGGAGAACCGCATGGTTACCGTGGTTACGGCTTCAGACCTTGTAAACGTCAACCAGCTTAACTTCATCGCTTCGCAGGAGGACGAAGCCAAGGTGCTGAGCTCATTAAAGCGACCGTGACCATGACTAATTGTGATGATAATGATGATGCAGTGTGTGACTGTTTTTGTGTTTCGTTTTTTTGTAGGTGTGGTGTGAGGAACTGTTTTCTCTGTCTTCCAACCTGCTGAGCCACAATCTCAACCGAGACCAGAGTCTGCTGAAAGCGTGAGTACGCACACATTCATCACTGCACGCACTTGTTTGTTTTATTAAACAGTATATGGCTTAAAGGGAAGCACAGATGTGGATTTGTTTAGTTTGGAGGTTAATAAAAAAAATACTGAGTCTTTTGTGATAAACTTAATCATCCCTGCTGCTTCCTGACACCTTTTTGAAACCTATTTTCTGCACATCTTTTAATCTTAATGGTTTTACAAAATGCTTCATTCACACACACCATTGACCCATTTGCCCGACCACTTTTGCTACTTCACCCTTTGAAACTGACACCCTCTAATTTTTCTGCTTCAGGTACATCAAGTTAACTCTTCAGCCGAATGCAGAGGGGAGAATTCCTGTCAAGAAGTGAGTTCCCGATGATTATTAGGTCCCCAAGCCTCACTCAGTGGTTTTACCCAAGCATTTGCTTTGAGGCACATGTTACAGTATATGGTTGGGAACGTGAGGAATTAGCCTGAAGAAATCTTCAGAGACACGCACAAACTTTAACTTTGCTCTTTCCTGTCCCTTGCTTCCAAAAATAAACTTAATTCCATGTGCACTTGGGGAAGCAAAAACAGGGACAGGATTCATGAAGGTGCTTAATTCAGCACTGACCTGGTAATCAACCACTGCCAGAGCATGAGATGGATAATACAGTTATGACAGGAAGCTGTATTTTAGAAGCAAACTGAGAGCCGAATTAAGGTCAGCTGATATCTAAGAAGCCGAGGGAGTAGAGTTTTAAGAAAGCCCGCACGGTTTGACAGTTTGCACAGTCGAAGCTTTGGGCTCAAGTGAAGAGGGTGAGATTTGCCAAAGTGAAATTGCGTACACGGGGAATAGTTGCATTTCAAGAACCGTTATGGAGGATTAGCACCGTAAATGTCGGCCCATTAGTTGGAGAGAAGAATATGTAGAGGTTCTTACGGAAAGTAAAAAAATTAGTTTTGGGTTGGTGGAATGATCATAATATTGTTGCACCACTGTCTGTTTCAGTATTGTTCGGCTGTTTTCATCGGACAGAAAAAGAGTCGAGAATGCCCTGGAGAGCTGCAAACTGCCCTATGGACGGGTAAATACTTCAGTTAGTTTGGATTATTATAGGTGGCAGGGAATGAAAGACACACATGAAAAGCTGTTCTCTTTTCATGGATAACTACATATTAGACTCACAAAGTATTTAGTTTTTTTCTCTCTTTTTCTCTTTATTCTTTCTTCTCAGTTTTCTGTTTTCTGTTGAAGCTTTTGTCTGTTGGTTTTGTCCAGAATGACTCATAGTGCATGGATGGGTGAAATAAGCTCAGATATCTGGGTCATCAAGTTTTCAAGCAGCCACTTCCAATTCAAAACAAAGTGGTGTTGATTTTACATGAATCACACATTGAATATTCCTGTGAGCACAGAAAGATTGTTTTTGAAGAAGACATGTTGGAGGAAAAGTTGCATTTTAAAAAGGGTTTTGAACTATATTTTGCAGTTGGCATTATCAATAATTAATGCCCATGTTCTTTGTATTTGACAGGGTGACAGCATCAAACTGGAAGACTTAACACTTGAAGTTTACCGGAACTTCTTGGATAGTCTGTGCCCTCGTCCTGAGCTTGGGAACATCTTCAAACTGCAGTAAGTAAACAGAAAATAACTTGAGCTGGAGCTCTTGCTGCAGCTACTGACCTCTACTCTGCTAAAAGATGTATTAAAGATGAAGAAGCTACTCTACAAAATGAAAAGTTGTTATTTGCTTCAGGCCAATTTTTTTGATATCAGAAAAATCGTGATTCATCGCCTGTCCCACTTGTACAGACAGACAGGGATTGAACAAACTGGTTGATCTTTAGCTTTGCAGCAGTAATCATATTCTTAAAACTAATCTATCCCCTCTTCCAACGATGTTATGCAACTGGACCAGTTTGTTAGAAGTAATTAGCTTTCTGAAGCCGATCTAAATCCTGATCCTGGAGTTTTTTTTAATGTAATTGTGTCCCTAGAACCAGAAAGGTGTCTAAATCTAAATCTATTTGTATTAATTACTTGAACAACAAGACAATACGTCACAATTTCTTTTTATTTCAAGTTGATATGCAGTTGGAAATATATGATGATTAAGACCTCATTAAGACCAGTCAACAACCCCCTGGCGACCACTGATCACTAGGAAAATAAATGTCTATTCTGCAAAATAGACATTCTACCTTTTTCTCTCTGAGCTACAGTGAAACTGCAAACATCTATGCAAACTACTTGTAGCCTAGTAATGACCACAGCAATCACAAGGAGCTTTTCAGTGCTTCATCATATACCTCTTTACTACCAGTTTGTTATGCACGAGACTGTCAGGAACCTCCAGCAACCACTCGCTTACTAGTCACAGAATACACACTTTTCCCGCATGACTGGTGGTTGCTAGATAAGTGCCAACAGGTCTCTAGGTCTGTGTGACTGAGACCTGAACCACTGTGAGATGGGCCCAATCTGAAATTTCACATCGTATCTTCACACTTAGAATGACAACTTGATATTTTAAAAAAAAGAAGCGTATCATCTAGTTGTTCTCAAATATTATCACAGGGCATTTCTGCATCGAAGAAACTGGAATCAATAAAGGATGATAATAATAAAATAATTTAAATGTTTAGCTATAATTTTTGTAGTACTTGTACTACACTTGTACTTGTAGTAGTAATTCTCTGTATCTGTTTTTTTTTTTCTAGCATTGGAAAGCAGTAGATAAATCTGTACAATGTGAAAACTGGCAGATTTATGCAGCATACCACTTGTACATTTGTTCTAGTGGTTTCTCATCACACATAAAAACATGTTGACGTATTCCAGTTTCTACAAACGTTCTAAACCCTTGCAAATTGATTTAACTTAATTGATTTAATCAATTGATAAAACCAATACAATAGCACTCTTCCCATTTTAAAAACTGTTTTTCAAGAGTATGAGGTTAAGCAGCACTCCAGCAGTGGTTCCACAAAAATACCCAAACAGCATACAAATTTCTGAGAAGGTTTATCCTCTAATGCTCTGACTTTCAACCTGACTCTTCTCTGCTCTGCAGAGGAGCCAATGATAGGATGCTGTCAGTCGATCAGATGACAGAGTTCATCAACAATAAGCAGAGAGACCCAAGGCTCAATGAAATCCTCTACCCACCTCTTCGTCCTGCACAGACGCACACTGCGATGGAGAGGTATCAACATGACCAGACACAACTAAAGCAAGGTACACACTTAGACAAGCAGATTTTGCTGGAGGTTTTATGTGTTTGTTTGTTGTTGTTTTGTTTTTTTACTTTAACCTCCTAGGACCTGGCGTCCACATATGTGGACATCACATTTTGGGTTATTTAGACCAAAATACTCAATTTTGCTCTACAAGAGCCTGATATCCACTTACGAGGACATTATACTGCTACTGTTCTATCAAAATTTTAAACAAATATCCTCATATGTGGCTCTTATTTTTCATAAAAACGAAAATAAGGTAAAAAAAAAAAATCTGGTAATTCTTTCTTTTTACATTCATCGGGCCCCAATATGCTCAAATATCAAAGAGAAATTAAAAATGCATGCTATGGAAGAGTTCGGGTCTTAGGAGGTTAAAAATAAAAACCCACACAAGTTGATCCAAAAATACCTTTCTAACCCACCTATATACTTACTCTGTAATTTGTGTAGATCCTACTAGAAGAAATTTAGGTGTCTACTTTGCATCAAACATAAACTACAGATTGTTTTTCACCCATAAGATAACAGTGCTGCTATCTAAGAAATAAAATGATTATGTTCGTATTATATTATATTTCCTTATCAGAAATTAAAAATTCATTATAGAGGAGGGTTGAGAAATTAAAAAGGAAAAACCTGAAGCTTTATTCTAGGATGGTGACAAGTCACTAAAGGGGTTTAATGAGTATGACAATGATGCTATGACGCTAACATTTAGCACACACACACACACACATTCTTACAGAAGTTCACACATATACATACAATGCCTTGTCTTAGAACCATGTGGGCGTGGCTTTGTTCTGATGTTTTTTGTGTGAACTGTCTCTCAATAAAAAGGCAGCAAGGGAGGTCAGATGTGAGGCCACTTGATTACAGTAAACTCATTGTCTTGTTGGCGAAACCAGTTTGAGATGATTAGAGCTTTGTGAGCTATCAGAAGATGGACACATTGTGGTCATAAAGGGATGGACATGTTCAGCAACAAAACTCGTCTGGCATTTAAATGTTGATAACTTAGTAGTAACGGGATTAAAGTGTGCCAAGAAAATATCCCAGACGCAATTACACCACCGACAGCAGCTGTTGATACAAAGCAGGATGATTCCATCTTTTAATGTTTTTTTTTTCCAAACCCAATCATCGGAATATTACAGTAGAAATTGAGACTTCCCAGACCTGGCAAAGTTTTTCCAATATTCTGTTGTCCACTTTTGGTGAGCCTGTATGAACTGTAGCATCCTTTCCTGTTTTTTTGATGTGGTGTGGTTTTCTGTTGCAGTAGCCAATGTGCTTCAAGGTTCAACATGTTGTGCATTCAGAGATGTACCGTAGTTGTATCGAGCTGTTATTTGAGTTCTGCTGTTTTCCTTTCAGCTCAAAGCAGTCTGGTCATTCTCCTTTGACCTCTGGCATGTACAAAGCATTTTTTTTTCATAGAGGGCTGACGCTCACTGGCTATTTTCTCCTTTTCTGTCTGTAAATACTAGAGATGGTTGTGTGGGAAAAAAGAGTAGCAGCTTCTGAAATACCAGCCTGTGTGCCACCAAACTCTACGGCACTTTCAAATTCACTTTCGCAACTTCATTAGATTGTCTTGATCACGCCTAAATGAAGTAAGAGTCAAAGTGACCAGTTTTTATTGTCCTGAACTGATTTTTGTTGGAATAGGGTTCTCACTTTTTGTCTTTTGTGTTTGTGTGAACAATATTTTTAGGCAAGATCTCCCTCCAGGCGTTCTCCAGTTATCTGTCTAGTGATGAGAATGGAGTCATTCCACCAGAAAAGCTGGATCAGTCTGAAGACATGAGCTTCCCGATATCTCACTATTTCATCAACTCATCGCATAATACCTACCTGACAGGTACGCATGCACAAGTCCTAAAAGCTCAGCAATAAATCCATTACTTTCCATCACCGGTCTGATCCAAATACATTCTCTTTGATAGGCATTGGCAACTTCTTGGGAGAGAACAAATGAGTTGATTTAAATGTGTGAGCGTGAAGAAAATAAAATATTTGTCTGTTCAATTAACAACTGATGCAAACAGGAGAAAAGGTGAATTACCAAACTTTTTTATTAGTTGCGACTCAAATACGTCCAAAGTCTTCTTCAAGTTGACAGTTTAATTCTGCCAACAAAGCAGTGTATCGGGGGAACACACAGCTCTACTAAGAGAGCCATTATAGTTTTTCAGAGTGACACTGAGCTAAACAACATCCCAGAAAAATACCTCTGCTAAACAAAAAGTATGCATTTTCAGCAACAAAAGCACTTTAATGGCATGTAAATGAGCCAAATGCAGATCTCATCCAGATTTTTCCAAATAGGCTGAGCATTAATGAAGACATAAAGGATATGGGACACAAAACGACTTAACACGCACATAACATTTTTCAGTTTCATCAAAATTATGCACAGACCTGAGGCCTGTTGCACCTGAGTCTAAAACGAGATGGCCTAAAAAGAGAGCTTGGAATCGTGGCCTGGTGGGATTCAAGTGTCTCCTGCTTCTTCTGCTTCTATAAGCATGCAAACTCCCTGCTTGTCCAACAGTTAGAAAAAATATTTGACGGAACTGGTTATCTATTACACAAGGAGACAAGGTGTGACACTAATAATCCATGCATTCTTTCACATCTTGGCTTATGTGACTATTCATACGATAAATGGATGAACAACCTTCGGGATCACATCCTAAGGGGCAATCCTGCTATGTTTTAAATACCTGGGACTCTTCATGAGTTGTTTTAGAACCAAAGAAGACTCTTGGATGAGAGATGAAACATTCTAACAAAGCAAAAAGAAGTAATTTCCTTCTTTTCAAGTCCTCAAGTCTACCATGACCTCAGTGACTGAGAGCCTACACAGACTTACTTCCAGGAAGTAGCTTTGTATTTAAATCTATAGCCTTGTTTTGCATCATTTGTTCTTGTCCTTGTGTTTCAGCGGGCCAGCTGGCCGGGAGCTCCTCAGTAGAAATGTACAGGCAAGTTCTGTTGGCCGGGTGCCGCTGTGTGGAATTGGATGTGTGGAAAGGACGGACTGCTGAGGAGGAACCTGTCATCACTCATGGATTCACCATGACTTCAGAAATCTCCTTTAAGGTGTGTCTAAGTGGGAATTAAATCATGCAAGTTAAGAGTGCACATTTAGAAAGCCATTTAAGCAAATGTTTGGTACAATTTTGTGTTTTCTCTCCAGAAGGTTCGTCTTAATCCTCTTGGTTGTTTGGTCTATATGCTCTTCTTTTCTCTCTTTGCTTCCCAGTCACCCAAAGCGGTCATAGCAGATGGCTGCCCCTCCCTCAAGCAGTTTCTGCTGGACATCTTCCTGTTTAAAGGATTTTTTTTTCTCCACACTCTCGCCAAGCATTTGCTCATAGGGCAGTTATTGGGGTTTTTTGTGTATAATGTTGTAACGTGTACAATAATTGTCTCGGTGCTGTTGAAATATAAATATAAATAGATTTGGATTAAACCTTCTGAATTTGATTGCTCACATTGTTTTTGTGGCTGAATGAAAATGCCAAGCCATCTGCAATGATTCTGGACTGTTTAAGAGCTAATTGCAACCTCTTAGTCATCTGGCGTAGATCTTCTGCTTGTTAAAGAGGCCAACTTGTGTTTGTTTTGAATGGTCCTGTTTGCTAGAATACATCAAATGTGTCAACCATTAACTTTTAAAAGCAGGCTAAAAACATTCATTTTCTCTGAGGGATTGTTGTACTATTGGTGTGCATGATTATCATGGCCCTAAGAATTCACAATAACTATAGCATTGCAGACACCCCATATTTTATTCACAATACTACATAGAAAACTTGTCAAATGAAACTGACAAAATGTACTATTGTAAGAAGAGGCAGAATCATGTCTCAATAAAGTGGTAATCTGCATGTCCAGACCGTTGCTGGACTTTTGTCTCACATAGGATTCTAGATGTTCAACAGTCCTGACTCTGTAATTTTTGTTTCATGATGTGCCAAATGATTTCAGCCGTTCACGGTCTGGACTGTGGGATGGCCAGTTTAACAGGGCTCTTCTACTACGAAGCCATGCTGTTGTAATAGATTCATCACACTATCTTACTTAAATATGTAAGGTCTTCCCTAAAAAACCTGCCTTGAGTTTCTGAATATCTGCAAGCCACTTTGCAATGTGTTTTTGTCTTTCATTTTCTAGGAGGTGATTGAAGCTATTGCAGAATGCGCCTTCAAGACCTCACCCTTCCCTGTGATCCTGTCTTTTGAAAACCACGTGGACTCGTGAGAATCTCATTATTTATGTTTTTTAATATCCTGATTGAATCATAAGATCTTTTTGTTTATATCTGTAATTTTCCATTTACCCATCTATCAGGTTGAAGCAGCAGGCTAAAATGGCTGAATACTGTCGATCCATTTTTGGAGAAGCTCTTCTGATTGACCCTCTGGACAAATACCCTGTAAGAAATACTGACACGTGAAAGTGTTCAAAGTGTCTATTTTGTGATCAGACTGCAGTTTAAATTAATTTCTCTCTTTTCTGTCTTTTTTTTCTCTTCTATTGTGTGTATTTGCAGCTGGAGCCAGGTGTCCCTCTGCCCAGTCCTCAGGAGCTGATGGGCAAAATTCTCATCAAGAACAAGAAATCCCACAAACCTTCCAATAACACAGACACAAAGAGACTGACGGACCAACCTGCCAATCAGAGCAATGAACCAGTGTCTCCTAGCAACAACACAGGAGGTAAGACACAAAGACAAAAGGACTTTTTTTCAGCCCAGAAATCCAAGTGAAATGTATTCAACTGCGACAGCCTTTGTATAAAAAAATACGACAGACAGTAAATTCTTCTGTGGTTTCAACAGCTGCACGGGGCTGGAGAAATGTTAAAAACACAGGCATATTTCGGCTGTAACTTAAGGGCATCAGATGTCCAAAAAACGCTTTCACTGTGTGTCTTTCAAAGTGTTTTCACATTCAGCAGGCGTATGTCCTCACAAACATGAGTCATCGGGTAATCAGCATCATTGGGAAAAGGCGCAGTGGCTGGAGCTTCAGCACTGTCCCTGAGAAATTTGTTTTAAAGACCCAGGAAAAATAATGTGATTACTGCCCCAAATCATTTTGTAGTGTTTAGTTTTCTGAAAGGTCACTATCAGAGGACAGCACATTTCTTTAAACCACAATTTCCATCATGACTTTTTGTAAAATCCTTTGGCCCAAAGTATTATCTACTCCACCTCATCAGGGATGCTTAATGAGCAGGACATCCCAGATGAGGTCTGAAGCTCTTTTCAGCAATTAAATAGCAGAGCAGAGGGAAATGAGGGAGCCTTATTGACATGTTTGACATGCAGATTCTGAAAACAGGACAGTAATTGAGAGCACAACCGTGAATGAAGATCAGACCAGCATCTTTACTGAAGTCCATGCTCATACAGTGGCCGTGACCCTTTAGACAACGACTGCCTGAGTGGGCTGAATAATCAGCACCAGAGAAGTTAAAGCACAGGGCTGTTTAAACTCCTTCCACTATCTGCTTGATTTATATTCTGCTCTTTGGTGCACAAATTTGCCATTGTCTGTGTTTCTCAGATGCTGTGCATGATTATCTATTATTAGTTTATTTGTGCACAGATTTTATTGTACAGCTCAGGAGAAAATCTGTTGTCCTTGCTCTCAGGCATATGCTAAATTGTTACCAAACAGTCATGTTAATGGATAATTCCTGGATGATTATATCAATCACACCTGATTAGCAGTTCACAGGCTAAGTTTCCTCCAGTGAATACTTTTATCAGTCTCTAGCTCTTTTCACCAGCTTTAGGACACATCTCATTAAACTGAAGTATTTATGTGAGGGTATTTTATTTGCATTCTGCTTGAAAAGCAGAATGCAAATCCTGTTCTTGTGTCAGCTGAATAACTGTGTTATTCTGGCCGTTTATATCTGAAAAAAAAAAAGACAAAGAGATGAAGAGATGATGAAGACTTGTTTAATTTTAACAGAGATGGAAGCTGAGAGTGAGGAAGATGATGATGATGAAGATGATGATGGTAAAAAGGTCAGTGGTGACATCGAACAGAGCTGACAGAGGGTCACCCTCACTGCTGTCGCCATTCGTTAATGTTTACAAGTGCTGTTTATTTTCATGGTTTTGCTGTTTATTCTTTAAGCCATTGTCATTGTTAATCTTGTTCTGAACCCTGAATATTGTTGTTGTTGTGGGTTGTTGTGAACATTTGCTTTTTTTTTTTTTTGCTTTTTTTTTTTGCTGTTGCTTGTGCTTTATTTTTTCTGTTGTCTCTCCAGTGGTTCTTGTGGTTTATTCCGTATCTGTACCATTCGTGCATTTTCCTCTGTTTTCACAGTTTTTGTTAATAAGGTGACTGCACTTATGTAGCATTACTTTACTATCATTTTATCTGACTGGGGGTTATACAGTGTGTCTGAAACCAGGATGTTGGTTTTGCTAGAGCATCATACTAATGTTGTTCCCACAAAATCACTGCAGTTGACCAGCCATTGTATTGCGATATCATAGTGCAACTGAAGTTGCTTCAGCCTGTCGACAATTTCTGCATATCTGCAAGCCCCTTTGCAACCCACTTTCATCCCAGACAGATTCATATCTGTTGCTGTTAATGCCCACTCTGTGATGAGTTCTTAGTGCTGCTCTCTCAGCCTTTATTCTTTCTGTGTATCTGCATTAAATTATAACAAAGTACAGCACAGAGGAAATAGATTTAGGAAAACATCCTGCTTTCCAGTAAAATAAACCATTTAACGGCATTAAATATGTATTTAAAAGCCTTTTTAATTGTGCTTTCTTCCAAGCTTTGGCATCACAAAAAAGTTTTGTTGCAGTAATTATTAATTTTTATAGAAGATGAGATCGTGCTGTGCACACACAGCACCTCACTGCAAAAGAAAATACAAAATCACCTGTTTGATATTGTTTTAGTACGCCTAATGTACCCTTTAGTACCATTAATGAGGAGCTTTGACACCTCTATATATGTTATAGATTATAACATATATCTAAATATATGCATCTAAATATACTTTGTTCTACCTCTATCTTTGCTACTGGGGAATTTATTGCACTGCATGTATCAAAAGCTAATGTAGCCTTGAGCAAAAGTGATCAGCTGGCTTCAAAGGTCTGGTAAGCTCCCTTCTTTCTAACTTTTAAACTCGCTGTCTTGAGTGAAATCACCTAAGGCCATTTATCAGATTTTATGCAACTCTGTTTAGAGCCACCAGAGGTTTTATATAACGTGCGTGTTTTTCACTTTGTTTTAAAGCACTCCCCAGGAGCTGTAAACAGTCTTTGATATGCATTTGATGTCAGAGTTCCCCTTTAAGTTTCAGATGATGCTGACTGTAAATGAATAAAAGTAGAAGAGACATAATGTGGCAAGAGATATCAAACAGACCAGACAAGTGTGTTAGGTGTTGAGACAGAAAGACAGAATTCATTACACCGATGAAAGTGAAAGGTTGAAAAAAATAAATAAGCACAACAAAAAGTAGCAGGATAATAAACAAAAAATGAAATGAAAAGCAGGTCGGACATAGAGTGTGTGCACAAGTGTTTGTGTATTTGTGTTTAAAAAGTCGATGGATTTCATTTTGCTGTATATTTTTATTGCTGTGTTGGTATTAGTGTTTGCTGTCAGATTCTGTTGCTGCTGCCATTCTTTTTGTTACTAAGTGCTGTGCAGAGAAATGCAGGACTGCAAACAATGAAAATGTCTGCTTCAAATGACAGCTGCTGTTCCCTCCAGATGTTATGGAAAAAGATGTGTCTCATCTCATTGAAACTATGCTTTGGATGTGTGACGCTTATACTTTATTCCTTCTGTCGTTTATTGCAGGGCTCAGCTGAGCGGGAAGCAGTGGCAACAGAGGAAATGTCAACTCTGGTTAACTACGTCCAGCCTACCAAGTTCAACTCCTTCGAAGCCTCCAAGAGTAAGAAAAGCTCACTATAGATATGTTATTTTGTAGTGATATCCACTGTAACTCAATATAAATGATATAATGCATAAGTTTGGCCTTCACTGTGTTCACGAAATAGGGTGTGAAATTAACTAAGAGAGATTTTTTTTTTATTAAAATTGTTATCTAAAGTAAAGTCAGGTGACAAATGAAAGGATAACTCAACACAAAGTGACTTAATCAGTTTTAATAGATGATAATGTGTGAAGAGGGGATCAGGTCAATGTTTTACACACAGCAGGAGCTATTCAGGGCCAAATGTGTTTTGACTGCTGGAATTCAACCTAAGTAGAGCTTTCAATAGGCAGGTCACATGATCCCAGCCCATAGTTACCTGCACTATGCTCATGTTGTGAGTTTGGCATAGGGAGCTAGTAAATTGAAAACCCCTAAATATCTGATCCAACTGGGTTGTAGATCTGTGTTTTTACGTTCAAAAGACATGTCTAGAACATTTCAGGGTTGGGATGAATCTTTCAAGTCTCTGAAACTCTACTGGAAGAATGGAACAACATAATTCCCAGAAGATAGATCTTCATTTGGTGTTTAGGCGATGGTGGTGGAGAGAGTTGTGTAAATCAGGATTCACTGTCCCATGTTGTTGTTTATGCGTGTGGGTCTGTGGCTGTGCAGAGAGAGTGATTGTGGGAATTCTTCCTTCTCTTCTCTTTGTCTGTCTCCTCTTTTCATTCTTTCTATTTTATCTATTCTCTTTTCTCGCCTCCCTGAGCTGGGTTCTGCCACAGGTTTCTTCCTGTTAAAAAGGACTTTTCCCCCCCCACTGTTGCCAGGTGCTTGCTCACAGGGGACCATCTAATTGTAGGCTTTTCTTGTAGATACTGATGTTTTTCTTTACAATATAAAATGTAACTGCTGTGTGAATAAAACTGAGCTACCAGTGCGTAGCTTGATGCCAGTAATAAAACACATGGATGAATCTGTTGAAAACAGTCCCTCAAAGGGAGAAAAACATTGCCATAATATAATATAAAAACTTTTTAAAAAATCAAACAAGACTTCTTTCTCTCAGTGAACTATAGCCAGCCAGTCATAAGCAAAAGTAGGCAATTTTTATGGTTGTACCACATATTTTGACACTGCCCTGTGGTTGCTACAGACCTGCAGCTCATATCTGCAAAGCTCTGCAATCGCATCTATACACAGTCATGTTGAACACTTAACACCTCAGTCCTCCCATAATTTATCAGTTTGGTTAAGATCTGGTGACTGTGAAGATCATAGCACAGGATTTACATCATATTAATTCTCATCAAACCATTCAGTGAACACTTTGTCCTCTTGGAAGAGGCACCTTTAATTGTAGGATAAAGGTAATTACTCAGACACTTACACTGACATGTCCCTCTAAAAGAGCAAAAACGTGTCAGTAAAGTGGCCCCCACAAAATAACTGAGCCACCCCACATAGAGACCAATGGGTTCATCCAATTCCTTCAATTTGTTAACTTTCTGTAGATGCAGGAAGTTTGAAACCAAACTAATTGCTCAGAAATGCGTGTGTTCTCATTTTTGTGTGTGTTTGTGTAGAGGCAGCCCGCTGTTACCACATGTCGTCTTTTGTGGAGACCAAAGCGTTGGAGCATCTCACAAAGTCACCAGTGGAGTTTGTAGAGTATCCTTGGCAACAGTTACCACAGTTACATCACACCAAGGCACCATCACTTTATTTTTCATTGACTTCTCACTTTTGCTTGCTTTTTTTCTGTTAACCTTCAGAAATCTTTGTAACTCAGTAAGTTCTGATTAAGTTTTCATTTCATCAGTTTCTATACCAGCAGTTTCAGTACAATACATTTTACATGAATCTATATGTTAGCACTAATGAAATAATGGTTCTTAACCTTCTGTTAACCAGATATAATAAATCTCAGCTGAGTCGAATCTACCCAAAAGGAACCAGAGTGGATTCATCAAATTTTATGCCTCAACTCTTCTGGAACGCAGGATGTCAACTGGTGGCTCTAAACTACCAAACTATTGGTAAACTATTTTTTCTTTTTCTTTTTTTTTTTGTAAAAGGTGCCTTCAAGGACCTTTAATAAAAGTCCTCCCACAAGCAAGTATCCTATCATGGAAAGCCCATTGGCCAATTCCAGGTTAAAAGACTAATCTGAATTAATGGAGCCACGAACATAACAGTTCATCTCTGACTCATCCCTACAGAGATCTTGAACAATTGCTGTGCTAATCCACATTAAACCAAGAAAAACATTTGACACAGTTGAAACTGTTCTGGACCTCAACTGGAAGATTGCGACTTTTATGTGCCACCGTTGACTGTCATGAAGAAATATCCTTATTGACATTTTAAAGGGAATGCCATTTTTGGAATTGCAGAATTCTCCCATTTAGGTTTCTTTTGAGTGCCATGTCTCTGCCTTATAATGCTTTTGCCTCGGTAAAAGAAAGCATTCAAGATTTCCCCCCCTTTTAAGTGCATTTTAAATTAAGGGAGATAGTCTTTCCAAGGCTATCTAGGCTTTGCATGTACTCATTTGTTAACCACTTACCCTTGTTTAGAGTCAGATCAGCTGAAAATGTACTTCAGAAGCCACTGATTCCCCAAAATAACACATTCCACTTTGCTGCTCTTTTGTGCAACAACCAGAGTGCAGCTGTACAGCTCAAACTCAAACTGGTGCTTTAAGCCTTTGTGATGCTAAACTTCAATTTTCTGTTGCAGATTTGTCCATGCAGCTGAATCTCTTTATGTTTGAGTACAACGGTCGGAGCGGCTACAGGTTGAAGCCTGAGTTCATGAGGCGCCCGGACAAACACTTTGACCCTTTTACGGAAAACACAGTAGATGGCATTGTAGCTAACACCCTCTCTGTGAAGGTATATTCACAGTGCTTTTTTTTTTTTAAACAGTCTCTATTGGTATAACTCTTGTAGTATCTTCCTGTATGTGTTTAAACAAATGCAAGTGAATCCTCTGTGTTTCAGGTTATTTCAGGCCAGTTCCTGACTGAGCGGAGAGTGGGGGTGTATGTGGAGGTGGAGATGTTCGGACTCCCTGCAGACACTCGGCGGAAAGCTCTGAAGACCAAAACATCTCAGAACAACAATGCCATCAATCCAGTGTGGGACGAAGAGCCGATTGTGTTCAAAAAGGTGCGTTACAGGGAGTCAGATGTCTTACCTGTGCATACTAATTAGCCTATTAACAGTGTGACTGTGACAAATCTTTTCACAGGTGATTCTTCCTACCCTGGCCTCACTAAGAATTGCTGCCTTTGAAGAAGGAGGGAAGTTTATTGGTCATCGAATTATTCCGGTGTCTGCCATTAGGCCAGGTATTCATTCATTTCAACCTTTGATTCTCACCCTGGTGTTAAATGTTAAAGTATTTATCTATCAGATACTGACCTTTTTGTATCTTTAGTGCTGACTGCTATTACTAACTACACCTCTTAGAGATTTCTTTGAGTGTGCTTGAGTTTCTATGGGTTCACTAGTTTGTATTGCAGTTTTTCTTCTCCATGTTTCTTATGGAGTTTATTGTGTTTTCCTTGTACAAAGACAGCAATATGTCATAAAGCTTAGCAGACAATAACTGTCCAAACTCCCAGGAAATGAACTGATGATAAAATAATAAAATAAAAAGTCACAGAGAATAAAAATCAGCATTTTTTATATGTGTAGATGTTTTATGGCACCTATCATGAAAGATTCATACATAAATATTTCTTTGGCTTTTCATGCTTGTGGAGACTGTACAGACGTTGATATTTGTGTCATTGACCATATTTTGGGGCTCTTGATTTTTCTACTTACCTTACCTCCCGGGAAGCATCCTGACTTTTATGTTCAGACTTTATGTCGTGTGATCAGGTTGCAGAGGCACAAACAATGTGAACTAAATAAGTTTTTTTCTGTGTAGTTTGACTTCACTCATGCTTGGTCTGAAAACACTTAGCATTTCTTACTGCCAACTAACTTTATTGCCGGGGTTTTGTGCATTGCATTAAATATTTATCTGTCTACATGAACCAGATGACTGTTGCATCTGTTACTCTGCAGGTTATCGTTACATCGGCTTGAGGAATGAGAAAAACCAGTCTCTGATTCTGCCAGCTGTGTTCGTCTACATTGAAGTCAAAGACTATGTCCCAGATACATTTGCTGGTACAAACTTCTGGACTGTTTAATGGCATCACAGAACCAAATATCTACACTGACTGATTTATTTCATGTTTTTTGTTTTCATAACAAAACCAAGCATCACATAAAAGAACATGGGGGAAAGGGCAGTGTCTTTATTTATGCAAGGTGGCTTACAGCGAAAGGTATCCACTGTTGTGACAGTTTTTCAACACATGTAGGATCCCAAGCTCTGTAGTGCCACCTACAGGACATATTGTGACCAATCATGGCCGAAGTGGGCTCCTGTTTTTGCGTCTATTTGGCTCATCCATTAGCAGAAACCCACTCCTTGCAGTAAATCTCTTGAACATATTCATTGGCTCAATAGAATAAAGGTTTTATCATTTTAATGTCTCACCCACATGATTGAGCACAAGTGTCTTAAACGGCTAAAATATTTTATTTGATCATCAGCTGAAGAGCTTTCAGGACATTGTTTATGCATTTAAAGTCCAGAGTGCAGTGGGGCGCCTTTGTTTGTTTGTTTGTTTAATGAATGACCAAAACTGACAAAATCACAAATCACATCACATAAATACAAATCACATAAATAAACATTAGTACTGCTATTCTTCTGATACAGTAAAGAAAGAAAGGACCCCATTACATATGCTCTTCATCCACTTACTCATAATTTGCATAATTCGGCAAATGGAAAGAAATACAGTAACAAAAAATCAACATAAATCCATGTAAATTGCTAAAATTATTAAATAAAAATGGTGAAAAAAAAGAAAATTACATAAGGATGTAAATAAATAGGGGAATTAATACAAAGTTAAATATTTTTATAAATTAATTCATGTTTGCGTGTATTTTTTTATCATAAACAATTTTTATTTATTTCATTTAAACTTCAATAACAGAACTTAAAGATAAATACATAAATAAATAATTTAAAAAACAAAACAAACAAACAAAAAAATAACCCCAAAAAACACACCAATCCCCACACCACCACTCTGTCATTACTCCTCTGTTCTTCAAGTTACAGAAAACCATCTTGTAAAGGGGACCAAATACAATCATATTGATGCAATTTGTCTAATAAGCCATAAGTCACTTTTTTGTAAGATGCCAACTTAGCCATTGCCATTTTGCCACTCTTCATAGGGAGGGGGGGTTCTTTTTCCGCCAATGTCTTAGCAGGACCCATTTGGCCGTAGTAAGAGCCAGAATCATCCATCTTTTTGTATAACTGGAAAAATCTCCATCAGAAAGTTGTGTGGTTATACCAAGTATGGACAGTTTTGGTGAGATACCAAATCTCCTTTTCAAAACACTGAAAATGACTTCCATTATGTTTTCCTACCAATCCCAAAGTGCCGAACAGCTCCATAAGATATGTAAAATCAAAGCATTTTGACCATCACATCTCCAACATTTGTCCATAGAGACCACGTTCCATTTATACAATTGTTGCAGTGTTCGATGCCACTTATGGATTATCTTAAGTTGAATAAATCTACTGCCTGTTTCTTTATACATAGTATTAACATTTTGAAAACATGAATCCCATTCAACTGAAGATATGTCCAATGCCATGTCCTGGGCCAAGTAGCCCTTAATTTTAAGGAGAGGGTCAGCTGACCGTTCTTGCAATAAGTGATAAATCTTTGCGGTGATGCCTTTACCCAAGGATGATCTTGAGAGCAGGACTTCCACAGGGCTGTCCACAGGACAACTCAAAGGGGTTCCCAGCCACTTCGATAATAAACTATGTATTTGGACATATCTCCAGAATTGATTACGCTGCAACTTATATAATTCCACAATTTTATCAAAGCTTAAAAAACATTTAGTCCCACAGTCAAATAAATCTGATACATAAAGGATGCCTGCCTTACGCCACTGTAACCAGTCAACCGATGTCCCTCCAATTAAAATTAAAAATGTTTGCGTGTATTTTTAATATTTCTGGTGCATTCAGTGGAAAATGTATTTATTTATTTTGGTCTTGATTTTGGTCTTGATTTTGGTTTTAGCATTTCAATTTTTATCTTCATATGTGTACACAAAAACTATGACTTCTTCCTGTTTTAAATAATTGCTACATGTTAGTCAAACTGATATGGTCACATACACATAACCATATTCATGATGTCCACATAGTCCTCAATGCAATGCCATCAGCTCTGTATGTGTTTGTTCATATTTCTTCTAGATGTAATCGAGGCTCTATCGAACCCTATTCGCTATGTCAACCTTCTGGAGCAAAGATCTAAACAGCTGGCAGCCCTGACTCTGGAGGATGGCGAGGAGGACACGCAGACTGAGGTCAGACCTGCTTCGATTCTATTCATTCTTTGTCTCGTGAGCTAAAAGTTTGGCTGTAAAAGGTCTTGGTATTGATTTCCAGGAGGAGACTGAAAGCTGTGCAGAGCGTAAGACTGATCTGAAATCAGCTCCACTAGAAAACGGGCTTAGCCCGGTCTCTGGCCCACCGGGCCACACCCCCATCGCCACCACACCCAAAGCTTCTGCAGCCAATCAACAGGCAGCCACGACAGGTAGTTAGCAACTGCAAGTGAAGATGCACACACTAATACAAATATTAAATGACTGATAAAAGTGAACTGCAGATATTCTAATGGTAATATGTACAAATACTAAATTTACTTTTTTGGTATGGATTTTCTCTTTTCTACATTTTAGATGCAGCCAAACCAGCAGCCAAGACTGAAGACCTGGTTTTAAGTGTTTTGATAGGTCAGTATTTACATAATTACACATTAAGATTTCTTATTTTAATTCTCTGGATTGGTCTGAAAGTGTGATTCAATGATAGCAAATTTAAAAAATAATTAAGAGCAAAATTAGCACTGAGTGTATCTTAAATATATCGTGTATTATATATGTTTATATAAAGGTGAGTCTAGGACTAGGTCTGAAAAGTGAAGCCAATCCATGCATGTCTTAAACCTGTGATTTTTCTAAAGGCTTGCAGAAGAAGTCTGTTTTCATAGAAGCAGGGAAAATTAACTTTATTGATTTATGATCTCAGGAAATACATTCCTACTAAGTATATGATCACAGTCATTAACATGAATGGCATCATTTTTTATTTTGTTTATTTATTTATTCATTTTATTTATAAAGTGTGGTGTACTTTAAGGTGATTCCGGAGTTTTAACACAAACTAATACACTGTATGATCTGTGATCACATATGGTAACAGATGTCCCAGTGTGCACTTTGGAGAATCTGCAGCAGTCCAAAGTTTACCAGAAGGAGCAGAGACGCCAGTTTAAAGAGCTGAAGGAGTTAGTGAGGAGACACCAGAAGAAAACGTCAGAACTCCTCCGAGAGTTCAACAATAAGTACAAGAAGACAGCAAGACAATGCAGCAAGAACAGGTACGCACACCAACGTTATTATAGTGAATGAAATAAAACTAACTAAAACTAAACTGAATTGAAAATTACAAAGTCAAAATGAAAAAAAAGAGAAAAATAATTATACTTTTTAAAGCTGTAATAACTCTGACGCACACAGACACGTTATGTTTGTGTTTTTTTAATTATAACATTTTTTTCTCTTATCATATTGAAATAACACCTGTTATTTTACTGTGAAAGAGAGGGGAAAGTGTTTCATTTTAAAATCTTCGATTTGCCCTTGTCAGGAGTTCGAACTCGGACAGTGAGAAGGACGACCGTCTGCAGCAGCTGAGAGAAGAGCAGCATCAGCAGCTTCTGGCTCTGAGGCAGGAACAGTACTATAGTCAGAAATATCTGCAGAGAGAACACATTAAAACGGTAAAATCTAACAAAACGAACTTTTAAAACAAAAAAAATAGTTTCTTCACTTTTGATTGAAGTATTATTGACAAGGGAAACTCATAATAACATCTTCCCCAAAAGACAAATTGCTAATAAGTATCACGCTATGATTGGCATGACAGAAAGTCTCTCCCCGCCAGGTATAGCAATAAGAATGATGTTTGACAGGCTCTGTGTTAAGTTAGCGCCTTCAGTTTTGAGCATGTCTGTAAAATGTATTTGTGTGAAACATTGTCTTTGTTCCCTCCAGCTGACGGAGCGGCTGACCAGTCTGGCTGAGGAGAGTCACAACACCCAGATAAAGAAGCTCAAAGACATCTGTGACAAGTGAGATAAAAATCTGTGACTGAAGTCTCACGGGTCTTTAAGCTCAGAGGAATTCCACATGGTGTTAGAGTTATTTTCATAACAGCAGTAGCTTGCAGAGCATTCCCTCTGAGCTGCTTCAGGCAACAGCAGGTTGGATATTTGCAGGGCATGGTGCCATTCTTTATGGTCTTTATACCATAAAGACAAAATTTGACAACCTCCCCTTTACACTTAATGACAAGTTTGGATGTGTCGGTATTGTTACGTCCCTCTGCAGCCTCGAATCTGCTCAGTGTGTTCAGCTGGTGCTAATTGGCCACACCTAATCAGGTGTGGATAAAAGCATACCTGAGGCAAGCTTCCCAGGGAGCTCACTAGTCTTTGCCTTGGTGGCACCAGCAATTTTAGCCAACCTGATAGTCCATTTTAAGATAAACCTCTTTTTACCTACACTCTGGTATTCGTCTCCTTTTTTATGTTGCGGCTTTTGAGCCGGGTCGTAACAGTATATACGAATAAAGATGTGGTTTGACAACCACTAGAAACCGTCCTCCCTACTTCTGATGCAAACAACTCGGCTCAGAAAAGAGCTGCACGGATAACTACTAGTAGGCTTTCAGGGGGCTAAGAGTTAATTTTGAATTTGATCCTAGCAATACAACTAAAAAAAACAGGGTGTGTTTACTACTGTGTAGCATCCCCTCATTTTTTAACAATGGTCTGTTTTCTTATTTTTTAAAGCAAGGTCTGGACTGCAGTTCAGCTTCGGATTCTTCCAGTACAAAGCCAGGCTGTCACAATAGTTGCATTTGAATTATCTTGCTGAAATCAGCAAGGCTTTCCCTGAAAAACAGCATCATCTGAATGGGAATGTATATTGATACTGATGGTGCCCTTCCAGATGTGCAAACTGCCAAGTCCAGACTTCTAAATGAGTGCTGATAACAAGCCAGATGGTTCCACTCCTCTTTAGTCCAAAGGATGTAGTTTCCATGTTTTCCAAAAGAAAATATCAAATTGTTCTCAAACAGGTTTCCAGTTTGAGTTTTGGCAGCAACATTTCTGGATTATGTTCACATATGGATTCTCCGTTGTGTGATAGAGCTTTAACCTGCATTTGTGAATGGCACAGCAAATCCACAGTGTTCACAGACACTGATTTCTGGAAGTGTTCCTGTTTGGATGTATTTGCATATTCTAGTAAATAAAACATGTCATTTATTTATTTATCAGACACATTTTCACATAAGCATATTTTCTTTTTCAAATGAAATCATAATCACTGTTTTGACACCTAATTATGACAACATAATATATCTACTGCCAGCATTTTGAGAAATATTTATATTGTAGAACATGAAACTAATGATCTGCAATATTATTAATTTTTTATATTGAAAGTAATGTAGAGATTCTCCTAGTATTATCATATTAAATGGTGGAAGGAAAAACAGACAAAGCATGCATTTAACAGCTTAAAATTATAGGCAGTTACCTTGAAATGCTTAAATGGCTCCTAGAGCTAATTGAAGGTGATTTAATAATTCAGTTCAATTCAGTTTTATTTATACAGCACCAATTACAACAACAGTCGCCTCAAGGCACTTTAGATTATAAGTGGGAAGGAAAAAACTCCCTTTTAACAGGAAGAAACCAGGCTCAGGGAGGGGCGGGGCCATCTGCTGCGACCGGTTGGGGTGAGAGAAGGAAGACAGGATAAAGACATGCTGTGGAAGAGAGCCAGAGATTTATAAGAAGTATGATTCAATGCAGAGAGGTCTATTAACACACAGTGAGTGAGAAAGGTGACTGAAGAAGAAACACAATACAGCATAGGAATCCCTCAGCAGCCTACACCTATTGCAGCATTACAAAGGGGGGATTCAGGGTCTCCTGATCCAGCCCTAACTATGTGCTTTATCAAAAAAGAAAACCTAGCTAAGATTAGCTAAGGCTTAATCTTAGGTATTTATCTAGTTAAGATTAAGCCTAATCTTAAAAGTAGAGATAGTGTCTGTCTCCCAAATCCAAATTAGAAGCTGGTTCCACTGAGGAGGGAAAATGAAGGCTCTCCCTCCCATTCTACTTTTGAATACTCTGGGAGCAACAAGTAAGCCTGCAGTGTGAGGCATGAAAGCTCGTTTTGACCTCCGCATTTTCTATTGGCCCCAGAGGGAGCAACTCCACTGGAAGCAAAAATTAGATGTGAATTCCACAACAGAAGCCATGATGGTAAAACCATGGCTTCTGTTATATAAAAAATATAAATTAAAAAAAGCTTTTAGTTTGAATCAGATTCAAGTGGTAATTCTATGCTTTCAGTTTTTACATTGTAGTAACAATTAAAATAAGGTTAACAATAGAAAGGGACAGATTAGAGGGCATCATCTGGGCAATTCTTCAAATACCGGCCCAAATAATTGCCAGGAAGAGTTGCCAAGATGGCTCTGGATTTTTAGCCTTGCTAAAGATGTCTTTTTAAAGTACGTGATACTTTATATGTACCCTATCTTATTTCAGCTGTTCTTCAAAAGATACTATGAGCCAGACTTTTACCCAGTGCACTTCTAAAAACTTGATACCATGATTTTCACCAAGCATTTGCCCTAATCTTTCTTTCTGCTTCTATAGGGAGAAAAAAGAGCTGAAGAAGCAGATGGATCGAAGGAGAACAGAGAAGATCAACCAAGCAAAGACCAAAGAGAAACATCTGGCTGAGGAGTATGATCTATAAGCACACGCACACACATTTCACTATTTATCTAGCTGCTGTAGCTTGCTCATCTGCTTCATGCACTGATCCACTGATCTAGTCTCATTAGAAGAGAAAAATATTTATCTCAGATCCAATCAATGTCAATCCATTTGTCTCTATGTTCCCAGGGAGAAGATTGAGATCAATAAGTCCTACGTCAATGAAGTCGTCCAGAACATTAAAAGGGTGAGCAGCAGATGAGGTTAAAGGAATTTTTATGGGCCTTTCCATAAAGTGAATTCCAAAGAGACAATTATGAAAATGTTATGGCTGCAACACTCTCTCCATTTAGTGCAACTCTGTCTGTATGTCTGTTTGTTTATCCTCAGCTTGAGGAGACTCAGGCAAAGCGCCACGAGCAGCTGGTGGAGCAACACAATGATCTCCTGCAGGAGATACAAGACCAGAAGCCAAAGGTAAATACAAGTTTCTCTTTCTGTCCACAATTAAGTTCATTTATTTTTAGCCAAAGTCAGTGAAATCTGCCACCGACCACTTTGCAAGCTTCATGCTCAAATGCACTGCTTGGCAAGAACATTTCTTGTACACGAGGCTCCAAACTGGTGCTGCTGTCTGCCCACACCCACGCACTTTAGAGGCAGCGCTGACGTCAACGTGGGGCATTTAAAGGATGCAATGTGGCCTCTGGCAGCCATATTGGAGCTGTTCGAGTGTTGGCAGAAACGGCTGACAACAGCAGGTTGCGTTTCTGAATGTACAACCCATCTGTCTCAACTGTAGGAGATAACTAAACAAATTTGTGTGGTGTTTCTGACTGGGACCTGACTCATCATGGTTATATTTCGCTACATCTGCCGTTATGTAATCCCACCTTAGCCACAAAAAATCTTTAAAAGCAATCTATCCTCAGTGAGCAAGCGAATGTGTGTGGTGTTTTCCAGCTGCAGGGCTCTGTGGAGGCAGAGTTTCAAGAGAAGTTCCAGCGTTTGCCTGGAGAGATTCACGACTTCCTGCAGGACAGGAAGTTGGAGGTTCGAGGCCACAGCAAGTCACGACCTTCCACCCCACACGAAGCTCTTTCAGAGGAGGACTGAAGAGGGGAAAAAAGGATGAAGGAGCAAGGGGGAATGAGGAACGAGAACAATTGGATCAATGGAAGCAGCGTGGAGTAGATCAATGAAATGCAAAGCATGAGAATAAAAGATAACAAGAAGTATTGATGAAGAGGGCGCGAAAGAGTAAATAATCAAGTTTATATAGACTGTTACTTCTTTTTAATGGAAGAATGCTTTAACAATTTATTTTTTATTCCATTCTAGCATGAACTTTGTGTGTTTAATACAAGTGTTTAATCAGACCCCGTTTAGTCTTGCATTAAGTCTTCTATTCTGTCATCTGTTATTTTAGACCTCAACAGTTTGTACTGCATGACTGCATATCTATCTATCTATCTATCTATCTATCTATCTATCTATCTATCTATCTATCTATCTATCTATCTATCTATCTATCTATCTATCGATCTATTGATCTATCGATCGATCTACCGATCGATCTATCTATCTATCATTTGAAGATCACTGAACATACATCAGGCTCTGTCTTATTGGAGAGAAATCTTTACAAATATAGAGTTTTCAACAGAGTTTCAACAAATTCTAAGCAGCTGTTTGCCCTTTTTACTTGTCCAGTCTGCTATAACAATGTCAAAAAATTTAAAAAACTACAAAGCTAGAACAATTCCATCCTGGAGCACTCGGCGCCATGCTTTTACAAACACAATCAGCACACTTGGTCTGGTGCTGCCAAGAATAAAATGCACTGTAGCATTTGTTTGAGCTGAGAGTTTTTAAAACAGAACCACTAATGTCTGGGTTTTGTTAAATCTCTCAAGGACAGAAAAAGACATTTTGCAATTCACAATTCTCCCAAGTATCTCCACTCCAAGGCTGGCTGAACTCACAGTTGGAAGCTGTTGCTCACTAAATCTGGATGAAACTCTTTTATTCAGAAAGACAGAAAGATTAGAATTTAAGGGGTTAATACATGACAACAGTTAATGCTGTATTTTTTTATACATTTATTTATCACTGTTATTATAAATGCTTTCTTTTCTTTCTTTTTTTTTGGCTAGCATCACTGATATAGCCACAGGCTACATGCCTGACTTCCGAGCAGCTTTGCAGCTGGGATGTTGGTGATTTTGTCAGGGACACCTCAGTGGTGGAAATGCAAGAGAGGCAAATGTTTTCTTTTTTCTGCCTACATCCTGATAATAATGCATTCCGTTTCTTTTTTTGATTTTAAATAGGATTTTTTTCCCCTGTTTACTGTCATACAGATGAGGTGTGATTTTTTTTAAAGGAGCTGACAATAACTCCATAATATAAAAAACCTTTACCTGCTGTAAGTTTGTCTGATCTCCCTTAAAAAGTCATCTTCTGGTGCACATCTGGACAATTTTTAATAGAGATGCTTTTTTTTTTTTTAGATCTCCCAGTGGAAGTCCCTCTTTGTCCTCTTGCACTTGTGCCTCTGTGACAGATGCTGGATCTCCTCTTATGTGTCACAACTGCGATCTTTCAATTTGATTTTCATTTCTATAATTGTTGCAGGGAGACAAATCTGGTGACTGGTCTAAAGCAGTATACAAAGGTTGTTTTAGTGGCTTAAGTCCTGCATTTTCAGTTCTGTTCTGAATGTTCTCCTTTAAATATCCTTCCACTGACTCAAGTTGCTACAATTATATTCAGTCTTGACAGTCTCTCACTGAGAGGTGAATTTATAATTTAAAGCCATATGTAGTTTGAAAGAAAATGACAAGCATTCTCTCACTGCCACTTCTCGTCTGAAGAGATGCCTTTACAAGTGGAAACGGTGAAGTCTTCAACTGGAAAGAGACCCTGCTCACATTACAATTAATGACCATCCACACAAAACTCAGGTCAGTTTGAAGCAGAGGTTGATGTTTTCTCTCTGTACAAGCTTGGAGTGAGTAGGGAAATCACAGACCAAAGGTGCAAGGGGTCACAATGGGACTTCAGATAATTTTTTTGTACTCTTCGCTCCGTTTCAGGCAAGTCCCAACTGCTTTTCCATCCTTTGGTTAGGAAGGCCAGACAATCAGAAGGCTTAAAGCAAGAGAAGTCTTAAAGGATGATGAATGAATCAACAGTGCTTCAACAGTGCCCAGTATAAGATAAATAAGGCTTATTTTCACCTGTGAGTTGTGCAAAGCTACTTTAGCTTTGCCCAAGAACAAAAATATGAGCATAGTAGGTCCTCTGTCAGTAATTCTTATCCTAAACCTTTGCCTCATGCAGTTGCATAAACATCTAATTTCATATTTGTGGTTTCAGGATTCTGTTATATAAACATATTGTTATGTGTTATATTTCAAGAAGTTAATATCCAGCTCTTTGTATGTGTGTGGGTGTATATCACTCATCCATATACTGCATTATCTGAACATTAATAAGGATTTTGACACAACTGTTTTAAGGATTTTTTTAATGGCAGAACTCTGTGTTTTATTCTAGCAGAAATTATGCTAGTTCCCAGTAAGTGTGTATCATTATCTGCTTTGTGTATTTATTCATGAGATTTTGGAAGGAAATGTAAAACTGATATGTTTTTTCATTGTTTGTTTTTTTTTTAAAGACTGTTAGTAGAAGACATGTTTATACGAGTGAGAAGGATTTGCACTGAAAGATAAAGTACAAAGGTTTTATTATCGGCCTATTTTGGATTTTTTCTGACTACTGTAGTTGCAGCAATCACCCCCTCAACTTGCCCCAGATGCTGCTGCAGAGCTGATTTGGTGGCCAGGCGTCTTTGTTAAATGTGAAAGTCTGCTGCCACTGCATGATTTATTTGTTCTAATGTGAAAGATGTACATAACGTAGTCCTCATTCTGATGACGTATGGATTTATCGGTTGCTATTTTCCTGATATTTAACAGCATAATTTGTAAAGTTTTACTTTGCTGTAAAAATGTAAAATGATTGGAGCTTGTTCCTCTTTGTATAGTGATCTTCCAGAACAATATTTGTTGGAACATTTTCCATGATGTTTTTTTTTTTCCTCTAAGGCCTCAGCTGCTTTCAACAACTTTTTTTTTGCCGTGAACCTTTACTTCAAATTTAAGCCACACATGATTGAGCTGAACAATCTGGGGTCACTGTCTGTTCCTGACCTCATAAAGGTAGCTTACACTTGCAGTCTTCATGGCAATATAGAGACTCAGTCATTAACTTTTCACACTAACATCAGAGTGCCTCATCATTCACTAAATTGTCTATTAAGGATGTTCATGTTTGCAAAGTGGCTGAGGTTCTACTGCAAAAATGTGTTGTTGAACATGCCTCATGCTTTAGCACATATACTGAGCATGCTTTATCGTATTAGATTTCTCCACCAGTTGAATTGTTTCTTGGGTTAATTGAATGCTATTTTAAGACCAGACTATTAAATATTTGATCTAAAAAACAAAGTGTTCTTGGAATGTTTTTTCTACCATTACAGTTGAAGACTTACAGTGTTGCGAGAAGATGCACTGTTCAGGCACTGTGTGAGAGGAGGTAATTGCTGTTGTCAGCCTCGTCAAAGGCAAGCCCACTGAATCGTGCCTGTTCACAAAACTTTGCTGTTGCTGTAATTGCGTGCACAGCCGGGATAACGTGAGCTTTCGGGCGCCGTACTGAAGGTGTGGGGGAGGAAAGTGGAGGAGCTGAGCGGCAGTCTGTCACAGGAGATTAATGTGACTATGATGACCTTTCTGCTTCCTAAATAACAAAACATGTAGTGAACTGAATCAAGCCGTACATGAACTGTTAATTAAACACAACATATATTCCGAAAATATTTTTAATTATGTTTCCTTAATATACGCAACATATTTGTCAATAGAACTTTCCTCTTGTATGTTTTCATTTGCCCTGATGTCATTTGCGTTGTTTTTTAACCGTATAAGATGATTTTCTGACAGATGTTTTCTGCATGACTTTGCTGCCCTCTAGTGAGCAAGAACAATAACGCAGGTGTAATGATAAAATTTAAACTCAGACCAGAATTCAAATCTTTTTTTTGTTGTTGTTGCTGTTTGTGTCTTTATATTTGTTGTTGCACTGAATTTTGTGAGATCTGTAATAAGACATTTATCGCCAAATTTATCAGTTAACCAAATTTGCAACTTTTGAAATGCTATACCGAACACAAATATTTACAATAGTCTCTTAACTGGTGCCCTTAACTTGTTTTATTTTACATTACTGTCTTAAGTAAAAGTCATAATCTCCCTGTAGCAATCGAGCAACAGTTGTATCCTAAAATCATCCTTAAAGTATTTAAGTTGAAATACTCAATATGCAGAATGGAACATTTGTGAACATATTTTATTATTGGATCATAATTGCTGAATTTTTTAATCTCACAGCTCGATATGAATTTATTATTTAGCTTAATTAAGCTTTGTCAGTAGTGATAAAGTATAGTATATGGCCATTTTATTGTGTACATCTTGCTAATACTGTGTTGGACCCCTTTTTGCCTTAAGAACTGCCTTAATTCTTCATGTCGCAGATTAAAAAAGGTTCTGCGAGCATACTTCAGATATTTTTGGTCCATGTTAACAGGATGGCATGACATACTTGCTGGAGATTTGTCAGCTGCACATTCATGATGAGACACTCCTGCTCTACCAGATCCCAGAAGTGCTCTATCATTGAAATCTGGTAACTGTGGAGGCCATCTGAGCACAGTTAACTCATTGTCACGTTCAAGAAAACAGTATAAGATGATATGACACATTTCCCTGTAGGAAGCAGCCATCAGAAGATGGGTACTCTGGTCACAAAAGGATGGACATGGTCAGCAACAGTAGTCAAGTCAGCTGCGAAGCTTACATGATGCTAAATTGATACTAAGGTGTCCAACGAGTGCCAAGAAAATATCCCCACACCATGACACTACCGCCGGCCTGAATAATGTTGTTTATACCACATTGTGACTATCTGAATGTTGCATCAGAATCAGTTTTACAATCTTGTCTTTTCCAGTTTTGATAAGCAGTAACTGTATCCTCCGTTTGTATTCTTAGCTGAGGAACGTAGCACACCGTGTGGTTTTCTGCTGATTCTTCTGCTTCAAGGTCCAACATGTTGTGCACTGAGTGGTGCTGTTCTACATAACTCAGTTGTGTTTATTTGAGTTACTGTTGCCTTCAGCTCCAAGCAGTCTGGCTAATCTGCGCTGGCATGAACAAGACCTTTTCACGCAAAGCTCGCTGGATATTTTGTCTTTTTGTACCACTCTCTACAAACCTGAGGTAGTTGTGCAGGAAAATCCCAGCAAATCATCAGTCTCTAAACTAACACTATTCTGATTTTCACTTTGAAGGTCACCGGCAGGTTGTCTTTACAATCTTTCAAATCTAAATACACCAAGGTTCTGCCATTTACTGGATAATTAGATATTTGCATTGATGAGCAGTTTTCCAATGAAGTGGCAGTATAAGAAGGTTTATGTTTTAAAGTCCACAAAATAAAGAGTAAAGTTTTCAAATAAAACAGTATGGAGTACAAAGTACAATGCTGGCATAAAGAAATAACAGGTTAGAGGCAGATAAACACCTTCAGTAATTACTTGATTAACTCTAATAATTAATTGCTCAACAGGTGCTATTCATGCTCATCAAAGGTGTTGGGCACCATTAGATTACTAGGGGTCAACCCACACTTCTCCTAACTTTTTAGTTTTTAGTTTAGTTTCAACCTTGCGCCAGTTAGTTGCACTTCCGCTTCCTTCCAGCAGATGGTGCCATTGACTCACAACTAACGCTCCACTCTCGACGTCGAAGAAGAGCTGCAGCCTCTCAGCAACCAGCAGAGACGTCTCTCTCTCCTCTCTCCTCTCCTCTGCTCAGCTCTCCTCTTCTCCATCCACTGCGGAACATCGGCCTGTTTTCCTCCCGTCCCTCCTCCAGCGGCAGACACCCAGCTCGTCATGGACAACTCCGGGAAAGAGAAGGAGGCCATGCAGCTGATGGCTGAAGCCGACAAGAAGGTCAAAGCGTCCGGATCCTTCCTCGGAGGGATGTTCGGGTAAAGGATGCTCTGATTCTCTGCCTCTGTTTACCAGCTCGTCGTGGTGGTGGTGGGGAGGGGAGGGGGCTCTCTGCACACAGGGCCCATCTTCTCCACGGACAGGCCGCTTTATTATGTCTATATTAAGCCTGTGATATACAAATAACGCGCCTGACGCTCAGAAGCGAGCGGCACATGAGCCTGCATTGCACGCTTTTGTATTTTATCATCACCCTTTAATTTATTCCTTATAAATCCCACCGGGTGCGCCTAACTTTCACTATGACATTGTGTCCTTTTTTAAACGTTTATAAACGAATCATGGAGTCGGCTTCATGCCAGAAACACTGGCTGGCACCGCAGATTGTGCATCTTGGCAAATGTAAATGTGGCACATCTCTGGATGGTGCTGATGCTGAGGATGCTGGAGGTGAGCGAGTTTGGATGAAGCGTGAGACCGAGGCAAAGATGCAGGGAGGCGGGGAGAGCAGCGCAGGCAGGCCGGTGGTGATGCGGTGTTTGCGGGGGATGGTTTTCTTTTTGGTTTTTTATTTGCTCTGTGTGTGTGTGTGTGTGTGTGTGTGTGTGTGTGTGTGTGTGTGTGTGTGTGTGTGTGTGTGGGAATGGGAGTGAGTTAGCTTATTTCACGCGTGTGGGAGGGGCGGATGTTTAGCCATCATTTTTGATATGATGTAACCATTGATAACAAACAGCCGGTTTGCTTGAGGCAACTTATTAACTGAGGGCTCTTTGTGTAATAAAGAAAAAAAAATAGAAAAACATGTATTCTGTGCAAAGCAGGCCTCTCCAAATTCAAACTGACCCAATGGCCTCTGAGATTAGTCTCTCCAAATCTGACTGTTTACTATCTGAATCTGATAAATTTGGGTCAGATGATTGCAGCCAGCTTCAACTCAAACAGATATGTTTGAGGTTGGTATAAGGAAACACTGTGAACATGTGCATTTACCCTAATTATCTTTAAGGTTTAGATTCTAAAATCAATTAATCTGCATGTCCTGAGTATCTGTTAGAGTCATGTCGGTTTTATAAAGTTATACATAAAGTGTATTTTCAAGTGATTTTTAGGAATTTATCGTTATTTAAGAAATAAGAAAAGAAAAATAATGCTGGCTAATATAACTTAATATAACTAACTTAAAAGAGAAATCATCTGAGTTGTTTTGAACAGGATCAATGAAAAACCTTTCTTACTACACAACGGAGACGGATAATAATTTTATTTGTTTGGGTTTTTTTGTTTTTTCAACTAATGGACTACTCTGAATATTTCAATTTTTGGTCCATTCAACTGACAGCTTGCATATTTAGAGATATAACATGGGGTTTTAGGATTTTATGATTTATGATCAGCCATTTTTTAAGGAACATCTAATTAACTAAAATCAAACATAAGATTAAGCAAGTAATATGAACCTAGAAGCCAATAAAATAGATCACACAGAACAATAAGTGGGCTGTCCAACAAAGCAGAACTGGTTATTATTAAATAACCATGAAAGAATAAGGAGGAGTAGCCACGATCAGACACTAAATCCCATATAGTCTTTTATGGTTAATACCAGAGTACCAAGTCTGGCATACAGTATCAGAAAATACAGTTATATTATAGGTCCTAAATCTTTGTTTATATACACAGTGTTAATAATTTTCCTTCTAACTCTACAACAGTTGTGTCCACACCTCATTGGACTATAAACTGAGACAAAGCTCTTCTAAAAGCAAATCATCCTGATAATGCATAAAAACACTTTTTCTGGCAAATATTTTGAAGCATTATCCTAATTAACTTTCATTTTATTGACCACTAGGACATTAAAAACTGCATGTCAGAGATCAAAGTTTTCTCATCTCTCCCAAAATAAGGTTTTAAAATGTGTGTTTTTTTCTGGCACCATCTTTACTTTTAAAAAAGTTTCCCATAGTTTCTGCTTCAGGATACTTTGAGTGTCATGTACCTCTCGAATAGTGTCTCTGATTGAGTTTGATTTGTCATGTAGTAACAGTTAAACCCATCAGTCCTTTTTGAACCTAATAGTTTTTGAGTCATTAAAATGAAGAAACCATATAAAAATTTGAGCAATTTCTAGATAGTTAATGCACTAACACTTCAGACACATACAGATTGCTTCATTTCAAATTCATTTTGGTATTGTACAGTGACAAAATGTCAAAAATTACATTGCTGACAAAAAACTGAGGACTTGACACAGAGCTACTTATTTGGTGTGCTAAAATTGAGAGCTAGGTCACTCAATAAGCTATACCATGATTATTTGATGAGTTTCTCCCCTGCGTTGAAAGATGAGACGAGTTAAGCTGTGGCTGTTTTGTGACCAGAGGTAGGTTATAGATTTGTGATGCCATATCATATCATACATCTAATTAGTGTTGATGTATAATTTAAAAGCTGCATTTATTTTCCTACAGAAAGGTGCAGATGTTGTTGCTGAACAAAGCCCCTTCTTTTTTTTCATGATTTAGAGCTACTTGCCTTTTATTTGAAATCTTTTGTGAAAGATTTTCTTCAAGACTCTTGTATAAATATTGAGGGAAGTAGCAAAGCCACGAAATGTCAAATGCTGAACAAAATCTACAGTTTTTATTTATCATTGAGCTTGAGAAGGATCCTTGTTGGGTTTTAACTTTGTCTGTTTGTTGTGGTTTGCACGCAAAGAACACCGTGCGATATCGCTTTCATTTTTGCTCCCTAACACTGTTTTCCACATTTGTTTTTGCATTTTTTTACAGAAAATAAATCATTGAGTTGTTTTTTAAGATAAAAATGTTTGCAAAATTGAGGAAATGGTCCTTATTTAAATCACATTTAACAGATTACATTTCTCATTGCAAGAGAAATACGCATCTTTTATCCATATCTAATCAGCAAATTAGCAGCCTGCCTCTCTCGTTTTTATGGTTGCTTGGTTTATTGTCCTCCTTTTTTTCTAGATGCAAACCAGTCCTCTGTCCTGTGGAGTGTGACGTAAATACTTTGTGATCTAGTTCAGGCTTCATGTAGTAAACCAGAAAGAAATATGATGCACAGATGAGCACGGTTATCGAACAGGAACGAAAAATATAGTTTGAGTTGTGCAGCAAGTATCTGTGTGCACAGCAATACAATATGCAAGAGAAAAAGGATTTGATTTGAGACTTGAGAGTGTGTCAGCTGGAGGGGTTTCTGTCCTCTCAGCACGTATGTCCTTAAACTGGAAGAGCTGTAGTAATAACTTGTAGTGTTGAAGTAAATTTACATTAAAAAATAACATTTATGTCAGGTTCAAAAAAGAGGTTGATGAAAACAGACAAAAGAAATTATACATTTTGTTTGACTTTGCTTTTTATGTGCATCCTTGTTGTGTGTTTTAGGGGGAACCATAAGGTGGAGGACGCCTGCGAAATGTACGCCAGAGCAGCCAATATGTTTAAGATGGCAAAGAACTGGAGTGGTGGGTGACACACACTTATCTACACACACACAAACACACTATCTACACACAAGTACATGCGTCACATTCATTAGACAGTAAAAAAAAAAAGCTTTACAAAAAAAAGATAAACTCCCACACAAACACCCACATGCAGACACGCACATGTATCTGAATGCTTTTACCCTCTGCATTTTAGTAACATATGAATGATTCAACAGCCTGTAGAAAACATCATGTTACCACATACAGCAATGAGATCTTTAAACATGGACTGATCAGTGAGATTTTGTCTGCAGGAGCCACCCTGTGCTCTACATATGCCAGATGTGCCAATAATAGCTCACGCTGTGCAGAATTTAGCTGTTTGGATGTGTGTTTTGATGCAGCCTGATGTGTGTCCGTCCACACAGTCAGTCGTGAGCATGGTCGTGTAATGCAGCAGGAGTAAAAAAATGAAACCTGGATGAAGTTTTTCTCATTCAAGATGTGACACTGTGTGTGTGTGTGTGTGTGTGTGTGTGTGTGTGTGTGTGTGTGTGTGTGTGGTTTGTGCGCGTGTGTGTGTGTTTTTAGCTGCTGGGAACGCGTTCTGTCAGGCCGCTCGGCTCCACATGCAGCTTCAGAACAAACTGGATTCTGCCACCAGCTTCGTCGATGCAGGAAACGCCTACAAGAAGGCCGACCCACAGGGTGAGTGCTTCTGTCACACAGACACACACATCTGGCTGAGTGACCACTACAAACTTACATTTAGGCCGTGCATTATGTCTCCTTTAAGTGTTGCACCACAGATTTACACATTTGCCTAATAACAGGACGATGGTTGGTTGCTGAGAGGAGACACAGGTCTGTTTGGGGCTGTGTCGGAAAGGTCTGCTGACATAAAACATGACTTTTGTTATGTAAGAACAACATTGTGGTGCACCGATGTTTGGCTAGAAGCTGCTTGGTTGATACGCAGATAATTGCCTTGATTTTAATCAGACCAAACTCACTCCTCTGAGATGAGCCGAGTGAGATCCAATTTTAATAGGTGCTGTTGACGTTCAGGAGATAAAACCATCCATTTATGTCAGCCCGGAGATAAAATCGGTGTGTTGTTGTTTTTTTTGTTCAAGGACTCTTATCATTTACCTCCTGTTCTGACTTTATTCAGATTTCTGTACTTCAAACCTGTCGCTTTAACAAGTGGAGAAGGGAGGAGCAACAGAAAAGGCACTAGAATTAAACTGACCATCTAAACTGTCCCCCTCTAGCCACAATTATACCCAAATTTGTCAATTTTCTTGGATTTCTTCACCCTTTATTCACAAAGTGCAACATAAGTAAAATGTTTAATGAGAAGTATCCAAATGTGCCTCAAGGTGCTTTATGTTTGTGAGGTAAAGACCCTACAGTAGGGGTGCCCAATCCCGGTCCTCGAGAGCTACCGTCCTGCAGCTTTTAGATGCATCCTTGTTCCCACACACCCGAATCAAATGAATGGCTTGTTATCAGGCCTTTGCCAAACATGATGGCATGCTGAAGAGGTAATCAAACCATTTGATTCAGCTGTGTTGGAGTAGGGATGCATCTAAAAGCTGCAGGATAGTAGCTCTCGAGGACTGGGATTGGGCAGCCCTGCCCTACAGTAATACAGAGAAAACCCTAACAATCACATGACCCCCTATGAGCAAACACTTGGTGACAGTGGGGAGGAAAAACTCCCTTTTAGATGGAAGAAAGTTCCAGTAGAAGCAGGCTTAGGCAGACAGGACTGAATATGGGTGTGTCAGAACTTTAATCTACGTTCATTATGCTGATTTTCTTAAGCTGGTTGTAGAATATGTGGTAATCAGTCTTCGTAGCGTTTGTGCTGGAAACCAACATTTGATTAGATTAGAAAAGCATTATATGAATGCCGGTGCTCTGTTGTTGTGGCCCATGCAGAAAAAACTTTCCACATCCCGTCAGAGGAGTGAGTTTGGAGTTTTAGAGAAGGTTGAAAGTGCATCATTGTAATGGAAAGACATTGCAGTGACATTACAACAAGATATGCTTGTTTTTATAATCAGTGGAAGCCATAATGGTAATTAGATTAAGATTGGATTAGCTGAGCTGCCCTAACTGTTTACTGTCCTTCTTTATCCATTTTTTCTTACTTGTTTGTGGGTTTACATGTTTAAAGCTTCTCTGAACATTGGGCAGCAAATTCTGCTGTTTAAACATAGCACAGGGTCCATTTAAACCAGCCTGGCTCCATAAAAACATTCATTCAACACTTTTTAAAGTAGTAAAAAGAAGATTTTAAAGAATTTAAAGAAACAGGAAAAACAGGAGCCTCTGAACACTGTAGCTGAAAGGGCTCTACAATGGAGCTCAATGAGGCAGGATGCATAAAATGTCTTGACAATTTAACCAAAAGAATAGTGTTTGCTGTGTTTAGGTAAAGAAAAATACATGTAAAAACTGGTTAAACAGTTACTATTTGACAGCACTGGTTCATTTCTTTGCCTCTATGTAAGATGTTCAAAGCAGGAAAATCCTGTTTCTGGTGGTTGCTGCTTCCCATTCCCCCCAAAATGCAGTAACAGTTTTATCAAATTGCAACAGTTTTAACTGAGATATTAAAGAGGTTAAAGCTGACTCCACAGATGTGCTAAATAAATGTGCTGTGTTTACACTTCCTCAGTTTCCTCAGAACAACTACAAAAAAGTGTAAAGCTACACGGTGAAAGGGGAAGCCTCTGCATCACTGCATTTCTCCGACTGGTTCGGGCCCAGGGGTGGGATTGTTGGAAGATTAAAATGGGTCCCTGGTTTGCTCTAGGAAAATTAATATCTGGGTTGTGTTGTGACAGACTTCCTGCTTCCTGGTGATGAGCTTAATAAAATACAGCGGGTTATCAGGTTAACAGTCACATAGGGAGGAAACTGAAATTGGAGATTATTAATTTGACTTCGGGGCTTCAGCACACTTTCCATTTTCTTTGTATTTATAAAAGCCCTCCTTACCCTCTCATCTGTCTCTTTCCAGAGGCTATCAACTGTTTAAATCAGGCCATTGACATCTACACTGACATGGTAAGACCTCTGCCAGCCATTAGATCTCACTCTCTGACAATGATCTCAGTCTTTCCTTTGATTAATGTCCTGTACTGCCTCTTCTATCTATGTGTGTGTGTGTGCTGACTACAGGGTCGGTTTACCATTGCAGCCAAACATCACATCACTATAGCAGAGATTTATGAGTCAGAGCTGGTGGACATTGAGAAGGTAAAGTGGGGAGTAAAAGGACTTCCTCTCTTTCTTTGGGATGAAAAGATTTTGGATCTATGTGCGACGCTCTGAATGTCCTCGTCTGTGTGTGTGTTTTCAGGCCATTGCCCACTACGAGCAGGCAGCAGACTACTACAAGGGAGAAGAATCTAACAGGTAAATGAGCTGTTTAGCTAAAAGCTAAATAACTATATAGTACATACATAATGCTAAAACCGACATTTATTTATAGAGTCAGGTTTGTTTATTATTTTTGCAATCAAGCAGTGGGGCAATTTAAAAAACAGATATAAGAGCAAAACATTTACGATTATTGGATGTTGCTGAGCTGTGACTCAGCATTGAAAATGGCCACTAGAGATTTGTCTCACATCTTTCAATCTTAGACACATTTTTCATGAACTCAAGTCAATTTTAAACATATTTGAGAAACTAAACAATGCACAAAATATTTTTTTTGTTTTAAGTAAAATCAAGATGTGATTTAAAGCTGATGTGATCACAGTAAATGATCGAGGGAGTACACAGAAACAGCAGAAAGTCTCTGTGTGGGATTACACAAATCTTCTGACTTGGTAGATCACAATTACTGGAATTTTTGACATAATAATGGGTTAAAAACAACACATTACCATTTGCAGGTTGATAAATTAGAATATTAATAAAAAAAACTGTTCTAATAAACAATTATTTCTATTACTAAAAGTAGAAAGACCATTTTTTTCAGGTTACTCAAATGGACTCAGGCGCAGACCAGGAATCCTTTGCAAAGCAGTGATTTTATTTACAGTAAACACCAACTGCAAATATGTACAACTTGCAGGGGTTGGGGGGGCGCGGGGACCAGGGCTCCAGGGTCCGTGGGAAAGGGAGAGATCCACACACACGCCACACTGTTCGGAATTCCACTCCACTCTCTTCTGTAGGCACTCGCGCTTCTAAGCACTTTGCCACTCAAACGCTCTCAGGTCCCTTGGGTTTACAGGGATGGGTCCAGGAAGATCTATTCACACAAAGGACTCGGTTAGAAACAGACTAAGATAAATACACAGGTTCAGATCAGAAATTGCCAGCCAGACTAACATAGAATACTCAACAACCCAGTGACAATCTTAAATAGTGCTCAGGATAGCAGGAGATGAGCAGCAGGTGTTGTGATTGGAGACAGGTGCGTGGGCCAGAGGCAGGAGCCTGTGATGAGCTCACCGCAGATAGAGGAGAGAGAGCGAAAGACAGAGAGCATAAAACAACAAAAAAACATGTTGCCTAACACAGAGCCAGCCAGGGAGACACGGGGACCATGACAGTTTCTGTCTTCTCTACCCCTGTTTGTTGTCTCCTGGAGGTGCTCTCTCTTAAACTAACTGTGGATGTTAATGCTATCTTTATACATTTTTTTGCAGACCTATTGTGTTCAACTACTAAATTTACCCCATATTCATCAGCATACTTATGAGACTAGTATATGTCATGGTCCTGGGTCGGTGACCCAGCGCTTTTAGTTTGTTATCATTTTCTAGATGCTGATTGTTTAGGTTCTGTGTTATATTCGGTCTGCCTCTGTGTCTGCGTCTGTATCTGTCTGTCTATGGTGTCACCCCATCTGTTTGTGAATCTGTCTGTTTAGTTCAATGTCTTGTCTGGTTCCATGTGTCTGAGTTTCCTGTTTTATTGTGAAGGTCCGTGTCGTATGTGAGTGTGATCAGTTTACGTTTCCCCTGTCCCGTCAGCCCAGATTCCTCCCAGCTGTGTTGCCCTCCTGTCTGTCATCCCCTGATTACTGGTGTGTGTATTTAAGCCCTGTGTGTTTTCCTGCCTGTTGCTGGTTTGTCTGTGTCAGTCTGTGTCACTCGGTGTCCTGCTCGTCTCGCTGCCGCTCATCCCTTTTTGTATCTTCTCAGGTTTGTCATTTAGCTTTCCCAGTTCAGGTCTTTAGTTTTGTCTTCCCTCTTGCCTGTTTTGCCTTCTCACCACTGTGTAAATAAATCGTCACCAGCGTTATCATCTACTGCCTGTGTTTTGGGTCCTTTTTCCCCTTCAATACCACACGGTAGTGATGGGCAGATGAAGCCCCATGAAGCACTGAAGCTTTTCATCCAATTGGTTCACCCCAACGCGAAGCTTCATGAAGCTTCATTTGCTCTAGCAGGACACCTACTGGACGTAAAAATAATAGCTGGCATGAATTTGAAGAGTGTGGCATTTTGCACACAGCCTGTAAATGTCAACAACAAAAGGAGTGTGTAAAACATGTATATTGTAGTGATGGCAGTATACTGTGTATATTTATAGTGGCAGTATGGAAAATGATTATTTGGAAATGCTTGAAATGGAAATGATCATTTACTGTGAGGTGAGGTGTGGTTGGGGTGTGGACAGTAGTTGTGCTTTTGTAACGTTGAGGTATGGACAGCTACACACTGAGGCTTTCTGCCTGTTCACATTTTATTCTGTAAAAACTAAATTTTCACTGCTTTTATGACCTTTTTAGTGGGGAGAACATAGCTAGGATTTAATGATTTAACAAATCTTTTGAATCCTTTGTCCTCCACAATGCTAAATAGCTGGGAGTCCTCAATCACCATGCTAACCAGGTCTTCATCTATTTGAGATTGTTCTCCTGAGGAAAGACAATAAAGATAAAGCACAAATATAAATATCACACACGTAACTTATTACAGTTGTATAATATTGTTATATCATTTAGTAACATTACTGCATCCTATATTATCATTGCATTTGATGGCTCACCTGGTCTTGCTCCACAATCGGTGTCCCCCTTATTCTCATGCAAAGCTCTGTAGTGCCTAAGCATGGATGAGGTGTTGCTGTTATATCCCAGCTCCCTGGCACATAGCAAACACTTCACCTTGTACAAAAGTCAAGACAGCTCAACATAAATTGTATTGCACCATCAGTATCATGAAAATACATCTTCTGTAGAAATTTACATACCTTGTTGGGAGGAATAAGATCAAAATGTTCCCACACAGGGGAGGACATCCTCCTCTTCTTAGCTGGCTCCATTCTCTCCTGACTTTCCTCACTCTCATAAACCTCCAAACGGTCTCCAAACTCTCACTAACCGCAACTCTCCATCAAACACCCACATTTTTAAATGAAGTCTGAGGGGTTTATATCGCTGTCATATCTCGCGGCAAAGTTCGAACCACTTCATGAACCAGTCACGTGGTACAGCCGGGCAGCGAGGCTTCGGACGTCATCATTTTCAGCTCCTCCCATAAATGAAGCAAGCCTCGATACGCGCTTCGCGGAAACGCCCCCTCCATTACTCGACACACGCTCCGAAGCCTCGATACAGAACGTCCCATCACTACCACACGGCTCGTCTCAGCAGCCGTGACAGTATATCATTTTGTGAAAACTTGGAAGGAACCAACCAGATTATGATTACAGACAACTGAACAAAGGACAAAGGAAAACATAAGAGTTTACACAGAGGGTTAATCTGGAAGTGGGGTTGCTGATTTTATTGCTTATTTGGTATTTTTGTGTTATGGACTCTCTTATTTCTTTTGATTTGGGGAAAGTTGTGTTTCTTGGAGTTTGATGGATCACTCTTTAGTCTGATTAGTGAGAAAAAACTGAGAACCTGATCTGTAATTAAAATATAAGCAGTGGTTCTAGCCCTTGTAGGGGAAAATGTATAACTATACATGTATAAATGTGACTGTGATATTGTTGACACTGGTGGAGTGTTTCATGATAAAGCTGCCACTCGTACAATATGATGAAGTGGTCATTGAGTGATGCTCACTCAGCCAAGCCTGATGGTCTTTACAGCTGGATAATACGCTTTGTATACAGTCTGTGGGTAAAAAACTGTCAGTCATCTGTAGGAAGATTCAGTATGAAAGAAACAGCAGATGTTAAAGTAAAATTTCTTGTTTGTGTCTTTTCAGCTCAGCTAACAAATGTCTTCTGAAGGTCGGACACTACAGCGCTCAGCTGGAACAGTACCAGAAAGCGATTGAAATCTATGAGCAGGTAACAACTGATTGTTATACCCATTTTGCTTTTATAAATGCAATAATGTTAAGTTTTTATTGTATTTGAAAAGAACCCTTTTTTATAATGTTTCATCCCATTTCAAAATTTATTGGTTTATAAGTGACCAAAAATGTAAAAATATATCAAGTTAAAGAGAGGGTTTTAAAAACTGGTCGTTTATGACATTTGCCCACTTCGGTTAATGTTTGTGCCTCCATGTGTGTTTTAGGTTGCAATGAGCACCATGGACAATCCCCTACTCAAGTACAACGCAAAAGAGTATTTCTTTAAGGCATCGCTCTGTCATTTCATTGTGGATGAGCTCAATGCCAAGGTAACACAACAAACAACAACTATAGCCAGCCACTGAGTCCGCACAGACACATGCACACTGAATCTGATGTATTTGTGGGTCGGGTTTCATGCTTAATTGTTCATTGCAGAAATCAGTTTACACGTACCGTTAACACTAACGCCTGTGTGTTTCAGTTGGCCATCGAGAAGTATGAAGAGATGTTTCCAGCCTTCTCAGACTCCAGAGAGCTCAAACTGTTAAAGGTAAATTACCTTTTCTTGTTTTTTTCAACGTAACTTTCTAAGTTTGCATAAATATTTTATTAAAGGTTTTAACGGTTTATAAAATCTGTTACGCTGAAACAATAATTTTATGAAAAATAATATAAACACTCTTTACAACAAGCAGGCAGTGATTTATGAAAGAAATTCCTGGAAAATTTAAATGTAATTTGTGTTTTTAACCTCTGCAAAGGTTTAGACTAAACTTTTCACCGAAAGTGAGGAGCTGTTTATTAGTGGATGCATTGAAATGTTTTCAAATGTTTGTTGTATATTTTTGTAGCTCTCCATCTTTGACTTACGTGATTAAATAACAATTGCATTGACTTAGTGCACCATCTTGTGGTTCAAACTGGCATTACACAAAGGTACAGCCCAGCCTTACCCCAACTTCAGTTGATATGTCTTCAGATATTGCACCTTTAGTTAAGTTTAGACACTGAAATCAAACATGTAGATTTCTTTCAATAGTATTTAATGTAAATAGTCATAAGAACATTATGATGTAAAGGAAAGCCCACAGAATATGATCATTAAAACACTGCTGCTACTAATCAGAGCTTAATTGTGCCATTTGTGTGTTTTTTCCCATGAACATTTTTGCCTATTCGCCACTCCTCTGTGCAACAGAAACTGCTAGAAGCCCACGAGGAGCAGAACAGCGAGGCGTTCACGGAGGCCGTGAAGGAGTTTGATTCTGTGTCTCGCCTGGACCAGTGGCTGACCACGATGTTGCTACGCATCAAGAAAACCATCCAGGGGGACGCTGGGGACCTGAAATAGACACACTTAGAAGGGGGAGAGAACAAAGGGGGGGGAATAGGGAAAGGGGCCATTGAAGAGAGAAGGAAGATGAGAGTGGAGGGGATTAAATGATGGGACAAGAGACAGGCATGTATCTTAATGGATGTGCAAAAGTAGAATAAAGTAAAGGCAGAAAGATGAAAGAGGGTGGGAGGTGAAGGAGTTTACAGTTGTACATATCAGTCTGCATGTGACCTGCCCCCCAATGAGCTAAGCATCACCTTTAAATCACCTTAAGATCACCCTGTGTCTCCCGGTCCTGCAGTATTGCTCTCGTAACACTGGACAGAATTGTACTTAAAAAGTAAGAGTGGAAAGAAAACGTGTGTGTGTGTGTGTGTGTGTGTGTGTGTGTGTGTGTGTGTGTGTGTGAGAAAGAGTGTGTGTGTGTGTGTGTGAGAAAGAGTGTGTGTGTGTGTGTGTGAGAAAGAGTGTGTGTGTGTGTGTGTGAGAAAGAGTGTGTGTGTGTGTGTGTGAGAAAGAGTGTGTGTGTGTGTGTGTGAGAAAGAGTGTGTGTCCACACCAGAAAGGTAAATGAAACTGTCTGATGGGAAAGTTTGCAGCTTACATGAGATTTAAGGAAATATGTTATTAAAAAAAAATATTGAGAAATATTATTTATGAGATTTCTGATATTTATTGTCAATACTGAACATATGTATTGTTTATTAAGGTGCTCAGTGTTATGATTTGTCTTACTATTTTAGGTATTAGCCCCTCAGCTCTCTCTCCTTCTCCTTTCTCCTTTACTTCTTCTCTTCCTCCTCCTCTTTCTCACTGTCCTCTCCGCATCCCCACACCCTGTCAAATCAGAGAAATCACCCATTGTGATTGGTTGGCTCTTTGTGTTCAGGCCAGTGGTGGTTCGGCACAGTAAGCCACCAGTGGTGACTCCTGTCACTGCCTTGTTTTGTGCATGTCTACTGTCATGTTGTTGTAAGTGTTTTCCGTGTTGTGCTAATGTGTGAAGAACATACATGTAGCCTGGTATCATTTGTGTGAAATTGGTAAATATGTACTTCAGAGACCGAGTTGAATAAAAACATCAGCGCTCCAAGTATCTGGGTGTTTATTTAGAATATGGAAACAGACCACAGGTCAGAAGATGAGAACACTGAGAAAGAAGAATACCTCATGAAAATAAATATAAATAAAGGAAAATAAATACACTACATTCACTTTAATAACATAACGTAGACGCATTCCTAAATAGAACTGGTGTCTCTGTGGTAGTTATTGCTGCAGTTACAGATTTTGGAAGCTAGGATCTGAAATGGATTTTAGTCATAGGTGAGAGTGAGTCAATCAGGTTTTTCCCAAAGGCAGGTGGATACACCAAGATGAATTCTACAACACTCAACACAGAATGGTGAGGAGGTTCATATTTAGCTTTTGTGTTCAGAGAATATTTGTTTCATGTATATATACAGAACAGGAAAAGGAACTGCCATAGAAGACCAAGCTTTTACATGTGATGTGCTGTTGACTGATAGAGGAAATGCCTGAAGCCAAGAGGTGGCTTGAAAAGGCCTGCTTAAAGCACAGCACAGAAATTCTGATCATGGCAGCAGAAGAAGAGGCCATAAGTACTGCTTCCAAAGAGGCATGAGTCTACCATACATGACAGGACCCAAGTTGCAAACTGTGCAAAGTGTGCCCTGCAGACTATCAAACACATGTTGCCAGACTGTAAGATGCAAACTGAGACCGCATGCACTGAGAGGCACAACCAAGTGGTGAGGAACATCTGTGCCTTTGTGACTATGGGAGACACCACCACAGGTGACTGACAACAACAGAGGTAAAGTCCTGTGGGACTTTGAGTTCCAGACAGCAAGCAGCTCTGTATTTATTCATCCACTCACCTAGTCAGCAGGACACTGCATCAGACCTTGTGTCTCAGCTGTACTCTGCTGACCATCCTGCACATTTCTTTTGATTGCCTGATAACCTTGAATGACATAATGACAGATGCCATCTAGTGTTGGTGTTTTAAAGTTAAAATGGTTAAAACCCTTCCTTAATAGTAGATCATTATTTTTGGTTTAACAAACTTTATTTGTTTTTTTATTTCAAAATTTAGGAGGAATAGACTTTTTATTCTGATTTAATTCAGGAACTTACATATCAATGGTTCCTATCTAGCCCTGCGACAGACTAGCGACCTGTCCAGGGTGTACCCCGCCTCTCGCCCTATGACAGCTGGGATGGGCTCCAGCGCCCCCCGCGACCCTGAAAAGGATAAGCGGAAGCAAATGGATGGATGGATGGATGGATGGTTCCTATCTATTCGAAACTGGTTGAGAAACATATTTTCACGCTACATGTAACGCCAATATGGAATAATAGATATGCTCTCGTTAAATGAAAATGTGTATACACAGAGGATGTGTTTTCCAACGGTGTTTTTTAAAATGAATTATTTTTTCCGACAAGTTATTTATGTTTAAATGTTCAGATGTATCTCATGTTATTTTTTAACATGTATTAATGCTATGGTGTGTGCTTTTCATAGACTTTGTCTGTTTAATCAAGTTCCGAAAGAGGGGGGCGGGGTAGGAGGGGTAAAGGAAACTGTCATCGATTTTCGTCATTACTCATCGACGACATTACCCACAATTCAGTTGGTGGACCCGTTCTGAGTTTCCGGTATGGTGCATGTCGCCTTTTCCCTCGCAGCGCTTGTTCTGTAGTTGGATTTTTGTTTTGTTTGAATCTTAAGCTACAAAACACCACAACTGGATAAGAATCACTTATAGCATTTCACTGAAGGAGGAGATACAACGAAGCCGCCAAGATGCCGCGAATTATGATTAAAGGAGGCGTCTGGCGCAACACTGAGGTACGTGTTTACATGGCTAGCTTGGTTAGCATGATGCTAACCTCCGAAAGCAAACCTGTGGTCTCGAGTTAGCATAAAGCTAGCTACTCATTTAACAAATTTATCCCGTGTGACATTTTAAGTTCATTTAAATTATCACCAGCTGTGTTTAATACTTTATTTCGTGCTTGTGTTGAGTTGCATGAACGCAGCTTTTTAATTTGCACTTAAACATATATGTTTACAGTTAGCGAATATTTGGCAGTCTAGATGGCCAAAATAATAAACCACAAGACTTCATAAAAGTTTATAAGTGAGCAAAAGATAGGGGATAATATAATTGTAGTTCAGCACTGGGATGAAAATTAATCAGCCCGCTGCGGATTGAGGATAAAAGATTTTGACATGTTTAGTCTTTATAAATCATTTGTCATTCAGTACATCCATTTAATTTATGGACGTCTGTTCCTTTTTAAAAATTTTTTATTCAGGATGAGATCCTCAAGGCAGCTGTAATGAAATATGGGAAAAACCAGTGGTCCCGTATCGCCTCCCTGCTGCACCGAAAGTCTGCCAAACAGTGTAAAGCCCGATGGTGAGTTTTGAGTCAGAGATGTGTGATGTGTCAAAAACATGAGATTAATTAAACGTCTATATACATTGATGGTTGTTTCTTCTGTCTGTGATTTTTTTTTTAGCTTTCAAATCTCTCTTTATGAAGAGTGAAATAAAGACCTTCTCCTCTGGCTTTGTTTCTGTCTGTAGGTACGAGTGGTTGGACCCCAGTATCAAGAAAACAGAATGGTCCAGAGAAGAGGAGGAGAAGCTGCTTCACTTGGCCAAGCTGATGCCCACCCAGTGGAGGACCATTGCTCCTATCATAGGAAGGACTGCTGCTCAGTGTCTGGAACACTACGAATACCTGCTGTATGTTTATCTCTAAGGACACATTTATTCACTATGATTTGTAATTCTGTGGCTTTTCACCTTGTATGTTCAGGAGCATTCATTGTTGCTAATCACTGTCGATTTGTAATTGAGATGTATTTTGTGTTTTATTCAGGGACAAAGCAGCTCAAAGAGACAATGAGGAGGAAGTGGGAGATGACCCCAGAAAGTTGAAACCAGGAGAAATTGATCCCAATCCTGAAACAAAACCTGCCAGACCTGACCCTGTGGATATGGATGAAGGTACAAAAATGCTGTCAGATTTATTTGAGCCAACAAAAGAATGTATCCTGATGTTAAGAATGGATTTGCTTCCTAGTTGTCTTGTACATTTTTATATTTAATTATTTAAAAAATTTCCTTTCTACTTTGTACTTTCAGTCGAGTCATGTGAGAGTTTAAAAATAAGTTTAATCATAACACAGTCACATGTGGTAACTAACCAATGTGTTGTGTGTCTGTCTCTCTTCATCGGTCTCTAGATGAGTTGGAGATGCTTTCAGAGGCCAGGGCTCGTTTGGCCAACACCCAGGGCAAGAAAGCCAAGAGGAAGGCCAGAGAGAAACAGCTGGAGGAAGCCAGGTTCAGCTAATAATGTTTTTACAATTGCTCTAAGACAAGCTGTCTTAGAGGTCCATAACTGGACCTCTTACAGAGCAGTTGACATGTAATAATAAAATGATCATATTTGACTATTTTTTCCTGATGTCATACTGTAGACGGCTGGCTGCTCTGCAGAAACACAGAGAGCTGAGAGCAGCAGGAATCGATGTTCAGAAGAAGAGAAAGAAGAAGAGAGGAGTAGACTATAATGCTGAAATCCCTTTTGAAAAGAAACCTGCACCGGTAACCACAGCTTTATGTGTTGTATCCTTAAAAATAACCCACAACATCAGCAGTGAGATTAACTTAATCTTACAGTACTAATTGTTGTCTTTTGTTTACTTTAAGGGTTTCTATGACACCAGCATGGAGCAGTATGATGCTCAGGAGCCTAATTTCAAGAGGCTCAGACAGCAGCATTTGGATGGAGAATTACGCAAGTTAGTATAACTTTAAACTTCTGGTGCTTTTCTGTATGCTAACAAGTTCCTTGTTTATGTCACTTGAATATTTTCCTTGGTTCTTGGCTTCTCCCAGCGAAGGCGTGAGATTGTCACGCTAATGTTATATAATATAAATAATAAGGATCAAAATGTGTTCCAAATTTTTGTCTTCATCCCTATTGTGTTTTTTTTATAGTGAGACTGAAGAGAGGGAGAGGAAGAAAGATAAACAGAAGATAAAGAAGAAGAAGGAGAGTGACTTGCCGTCTGCCATCCTGCAGACCAGCAGAGTGGCTGAGTTTACCAAAAAACGTTCCAAACTAGTGTTACTCGCACCACAGGTAACCACTTGTAACCACATATCTCTCTCTCTCTCAAATCTCTGTACCTTGTGTCAGAAATACACTCTGGACAGGAATTTAAATGTGTTTTTTCCTACTGAACAACATGCCGTCCATCTTCTCTCTCTGGCAGAGTGCCTATTCCAGGAGTGGGATGACCTTCCTCACCTGCTGAGGTGTTAATTATTTTACGCATATTCTTGGATTTTATTCTATATCTTTTTTTTTTCTTTTTCTTTTTTTTTTCAATTTCTATTGTAATAAAAACTTTTCAGTAAGCCAGTGTCAGATTCATGGTTTATTGATTTTTACAGACCCAAGGTAGTTTTCTTATAATACATTAAACTTTACTGTTTGCTGCACTTGATAAAAATCTACCCCAGGCAGCCTGTGCCTCAATTTTATTCTGCAACCTAGACGTCCACATTACTCACACTCTCATATAACACACACACATATATAGGGCCTTGGGGGTGGGCACATTTTACAGCATCCAGAGGATGGTCGGTGTATTCCAACCCACCTCTGGCGTTGGTGCCCTACCCTCAATTTTAAATGCATTTAGACACTAAGGGTTTTCGGGAGGAGCCGTGCTGCTCTCTGGCAGGAAGCACGAACATGCCCTCCTGTGTTTTAAATGCACTTAAGAACAGCACACAGCAACACTACATCTGCCCGGGCGTAGGGAGGTTTGGGGTCTTCACTCACCCCGGTTCTGTTAGCCGCTGGGGCTGGGACGAGGTGCTGGCCGTCAGATTGGAGTCTGGGATGCGGGGCCTCCCTGCTACTGCAGATAAGGAGGTGGTCCGCTTGCCTCCACCCCAGAGAGAAGGGTTACATCTCCTGGGTTTAGGTGCGGCTTGTCCGTCTCGGGGCGGGGGTACCTGGGCCTGGGATATAGAGTATGTTTGGGGAGTGTGACTGTCTGTGCAGTCTCTATTTGTGTCTGTCTACACGTTGGGTGAGTGCCGAGTATTTGGTTGTGTATATGGGGTGGGAATGCACGTTTGTGTCCGCAGGCGCTTGTTCGTCTGTGTCTATATGTCAGGTTGAGTCTTAGACTCAATCTCTCTGGGTACATCTCAGGTCCTCCAAAGTACGGAGGCCTATCTCCCCCCCCACCACACTCCCTGCCTGTGGCTGATGCCCTCAGATGTTGGTGTGTTGGTGGTCCTTGTCGACTGGGGCTGGGCGCTCATGTATGTACCGGCTCACTCCTGGTGGCCGATGGGCGGGGCCTGGCCCCTTCCAGGGGATGGAGTGCCCTCAGGCCTCTGGGCCTGAAGCTCTGTCCTCTCTGGCACAGCTGGCTGCCGGCAGAGCCTGCGGGCACGCCACTGCAACCCCCTCTGGCCTCTGCTCCGTAGCTGCTGGGTAACCTCCCGTTTGGGGCTCTACTCAGCTCTTCCCAGGAGGGTGGCACAGTTCCCCCCCCTTTTGGTGGTCCTCAGGTCCTTGTCTCCTGGGGTCTCTGGATATCTGGGGCCTGGACCTCCTCCATACCTGCTTCATGCCCTGGGGGACGGGGCTATGGCTCCCCACACTCCCTAGCAGATTGTTACATGGAGAAACCTTTGGAATACAAGCATGCTGATCCACACAGGTATGCACAGACTACACCTTTCTTGGCTGCTGCCTCAAAACACATTGTGCGCTGTCTATCTTGCGTGCTGCACAATATCATTTAATAATTGGTATCTACTGTTATCTAGTTTATTGTGATGGTGCTGTTTTTATTATGATGCTCTTTTTTTGCTTTCTCTTCTGTTTTTTTTTTTTTTCCTCCATACAGGTGATCCAGAAGTTTTGTTTTTCTTTCCCCCTTCTCCCCACTGGTTCTTTTTGTTCTTTCTCCCTGTCCTATCCCCAGTCATGTCTGTCCCGAAGATAAAATACATAATTATAATAAAGATCAAATGGACCAATATGGCAAGGCCATGATGATCCACTTGGTAAAATATATCCACTTGGCATCTTTCTTGGCCTTAAGACAACAATTCTGATGGCTATAGATCCAAACGGGACAAAAAATAAAAATTTACCCAGGCAAATACCCAGTGATATTAAGTTATGTTGAAAAGAAACTTTATTGGTCACTAAAACAGAAACACAAAGGACCACTGAGCATGCCGAAAACTCAGCCTGTGACATCTTAACAACATGAGCACATGGAGGGCTTATTTGTAGGATTTGCTGCGGGAAATTAAAAGGTTCAACACTCGTGGCAGCGGTCAGTTCGACGTCGATGTCTCTGTGATGAGTTTGCTCAGTATTTCTGAGCACTGTTGAGCAGCGACTCCCTCTCCATCAGCAGCTCTCCATATCTCTGCTGAAGTTCTTTCTCTCTCTCCATCTGCCTCTCCACGTCCTCCCGCAGAGCCTGAAACACTAAGTTGAACACTTACAAGTTGAACACTTGTAAACACCAGTGAGATGTGTTAACTAGCTTTTTTTAATAACCTCAGTTACACCGCTGCTTTTAAACTGGATAATTTTAACCCCACCTTTTATTTGGGTGGGCGTGTAGTGCTGCAAGTGGTCTGTGATTTAATTTCTAACATTCAAAGTGTTAAAGTTACTAACTTTGTGTGACCAATGGAACAAAAGCAGTTGAGTGTTTCTTCAGTTGAGTGAAGGTCTGGAGCTCTGTGGCTGCCTGCTCCACCTGGTGGACACATTATGAATAACATGATTGTTATAGAAACTATGACACTGACTTGCACACTGTTTCAGGCGCCATAATAATTTACAGCCTGTGACAACACAACCTGTCAGTCCAATGAAAATGTGTTCAGTACCTGTTCCCAGAGTTCGCTGTGCTGCTTCAGGAGACCCAGCGCTCTGGACTGAAATCCTCCAAGCAGGATTTTCAGTTTCTTCTCCAGTTTAGCTGCTCTCCTGGCCTCCGCTGTCATGTGACCACGGTTCACCTATAGGGTCCACAAATACAGAGATGTCAGTGTTTAGACCAGAGCTCAAAAAGATGAAAGAGTCAAGTTTGAGAGCTTTTGTGTGCATTCTCACATCTAGCTTTTCTCCAGGCTTTCAATACGGTCTTTCTTTGATGCGAGGTTTGCTCTGGTGTACCTGTTCTGAGTAGGCAGATAATATGAACAGTTTCAGACAAAAATTTAATTGGTACCAATATTGTGAGATCACAAGTACAGTTTTCCCCACATGCCATAAAGAAGTGTATGTAATGCATATTGTTAAAGGTGGCACACAGCAAGCCTACTCTGCTTTAGATGCATCCTCACTGCTGTATATTCGTCCTTTGGTTTAGGTGAGGGTGTTACTTTAGTAGAGCTTAGACTGCTCAAGTATAGCATGAAAAAAAAATTGTTATTACCCCAATTTGCTGAAACGCATATTATTCCAGTGGGGAGGTGGGGGGTGAAAAACAGAAGATACAGAATCACACAAGGCCCAGACTAGTGTTTTAGATCACAGTGAACTTGCACACCTCAGGAAACTCACTTCAAAACACTTAAGCTTCGGGGAGAATGATCGAGAGTCAACACCTCAGCTGTGTGCCATCAAAGGCAGACTGGGTGTGTAATAACTAGTTGGGTTAGACTGCACTGCACTACACTCCATCCATGTGTATTTCTACACACTAGAAGCTTCTAATTTAGAAATATGACAAATATACTGACCAAAAGGTGGTAACAAATCTCTACACCTGTTTATGCTTCTCTGACTTCTCATTTTTGGTCCATGGGTGCTCACCTGTCCGTAGCATTCCTCCCACACCTGGCTGTAAGCCTCCATGCTGAGGTCACCGTGACCCATACCTCCCTTCACCACCTCCATTTCTGCTGCCAGGACTAACTTTGCCTGTTTGTTGACACACAGGTAAACAGAATTACTGAGTGTAAACAGTGTAAGGGACTTTTTTTAAAGCAGAGACATCAGTGCTGCCGGGTTACCTGTTCCATCTCCTCTGTGCTAATTGGCTTGTAGGAGGTTTTTTTCCAGGTAAGCAATATGTGACGCGTTGTTAGACGTAGACGTGGGGCTTCGGATTTTGCCGCGCTGCAGCTGATTGGCAGCATTGGCTGAAGGGTGATGCAAGCAGTCAAAATGCAGCATGGTGATCATTTCCTGTTTGATGAGCTCTTCGGCCTGCTGGAGGTCAGAGAGTGGCTCCATGGAGGCGGGACGGAGAACAGACTCGTTTACCTGCAGACACGGAGGATCATAAGCACAACTGGATCCATTTAATGCCAGCTAAAGTAGACGAAATTAGTTTTTTCTTTGATTTCTGAAAGATTTGGTGATTACATTCAAATACACATTTTCCTGCATTTTATTTAAATTATTTTAATGTTGTAATTTTACCTCAGTAGGTCTGGGGAGACTCCTCTGAACAGGAGTGTGCCGCAATTTCAACTCCTTCTCTCTTTCAGCGTCTCGTTGAGCCTGGAAAACGGCATAAAGTGAACCTGTTGGATATATCTTATTCAGACTACGTGTGTGTACGTACACACACACCTGCTTGCGTGCTTCTACATCTGCAGAGTCTATGAATCCTGTCTCAGTTTCTTCGAGTTCTTTCTCAGCGTTTTCAGGAAGAACGATCTCAAAGTCATTCTTAGGGACAGGAAGTGACATCAGACCCTGTCTCGGGTGCTGCAAGCTTTCCCTTTGCTGTGAAGAGGAGAACAGCAGGTAATTCATTCTGTGGTGTGTTTTTTTTTCTTAAAACACAAAATGTGCATCTGCTGCCAAAACATAAAACTAATTACAACTAAAGTTGTAATTTTTCCATTGTATTTAATTTTTATTCAAGACAGAGAACTTGGAACTTTTCTGCAACATTCAGGATTTGTGGCACGTTACACAGATTCTTAACCGATCATTACAAATCTGTTGTGCATTCACATATGTATTAGTGTTTTTTATTTTACCGTGTGTTTAGCATATGCAGGGTCAGCCAGTTGTTCCTCTGTGTTAATATTCAGTTTGTCTCTCAGTGGTGTACGGCCGGGAGTTAAACCTGGAGTCCCTCCCACACGTGGAGTCATCGCACCTCCGACTTGAGGTGTCATGCCATCTGACCCCTGACCTGGACCAGGAGTTCTGTTGTAGTTGAAATACACAAAATTATTGGAATTAGTAAACTGTATAGGAACAAGTATAGAAACAAGTCTAGGAAATCCTTTCTCTTTGGTGAAAATGGTTGAGTTGTGACATGGAATAGTGCACCACACATTCAACAAATGGATGGGCCCATGTCTCCTCTTCGGGCTGTGCCCGGCCGGGCCCCATGGACTAAGGCCCGGCCACCAGACGCTCGCCCTCGGGCACCCTCCCCGGGCCTGGCTCCAGGGCGGGGCCCCGGTAACCCTATCCCGGGCAGGGTAAACTGTTCCCTCGGTGTCCTTTTCATAAGGGTCTTATGAATCGCTCTTTGTCTGGTCCCTCACCCAGGGCCAATTTGCCATGGGAGACCCTACCAGGGAGGCAAAAGCCCCCAGACAACATAGCCCCTGGGATCCCTGTGACACACAGTGGGGAAGGAGCCTGAGTTAGTGCGTGAGGTTGAGAGCCGGGGGCGAGGTCACTGAGGCAGTTAAACAACTCCTTGGTGGCAGAGCCCCTGGTGTTGATGAGGTCCGCCCCGAGTTCCTGAAGGCTCTGGACGTTGTAGGGCTGTCCTGGTTGACACGCCTCTGCAATGTTGCGTGGAGATCAGGGGCAGTACCTGTGGACTGGCAGACCGGGGTGGTGGTCCCCATCTTTAAGAAAGGGGACCGGAGGGTGTGTTCCAACTACAGGGGGATCACACTCCTCAGCCTCCCTGGGAAAGTCTATGCCAGGGTGCTGGAAAGGAGAGTTCGTCCGTTAGTCGAACCTCGGATACAGGAGGAACAATGCGGTTTTCGTCCTGGTCGCGGAACACTGGACCAGCTCTTTATCCTCTCCAGGATACTTGAGGGTGCATGGGAGTTTCCCCAACCAGTCTACATGTGTTTTGTGGACTTGGAGAAGGCATTCGACCGTGTCCCTCGGGGTGTCCTGTGGGAGGTGTTGCGGGAATATGGGGTGTCTGGCCCATTGCTACGGGCCATTCGATCCCTATACAACCGTTGCAAGAGCTTGGTTCGCATTGCCAGCAATAAGTCGGACTCGTTCCCGGTGGGTGATGGGCTCCGCCAGGGCTGCCCTTTGTCTCCGGTTCTGTTCATAATTTTTATGGACAGGATTTCTAGGCGCAGCCAAGTGGCGGAGGGCTTTCGCTTTGGTGGCCTCAGAATCTCATCTCTGATTTTTGCTGATGATGTGGTTCTGTTGGCTTCATCGGGTGAGGGCCTCCAGCTCGCACTGGAATGGTTCAGCACCTCCAAATCTGAGGCCATGGTTCTCAGCCGGAAAAGGGTGGAGTGCCAACTCCGGGTCGGGGATGAGTTCCTGCCCCAAGTGGAGGAGTTCAAGTATCTCGGGGTCTTGTTCGCGAGTGATGGGAGAAGGGAGCCGGAGATCGACAGACGGATTGGGGCTGCAGCTGCAGTAATGCGGACGCTGCACCGGTCCGTCGTGGTGAAGAGGGAGCTGAGTGTAAAAGCGAAGCTCTCAATTTACCGGTCGATCTACGTCCCTACCCTCACCTATGGCCACGAGCTGTGGGTAGTGACCGAAAGAACGAGATTGCGGATACAAGCAGCAGAAATGAGCTTCCTCCGAAGGGTGGCTGGCCTCTCCCTTAGAGATAGGGTGAGAAGTTCGGCCATCCGGGAGGGGCTCAGAGTAGAGCAGCTGCTGCTCCACATCGAAAGGAGCCAGCTGAGGTGGTTCGGGCATCTGACAAGGATGCCCCCTGGGCGCCTCCTGGGTGAGGTGTTCCAGGCATGTCCCACCGGAATGAGGCCCCGGGGCAGACCCAGGACACGCTGGAGAGATTATATCTCTCGGCTGGCCTGGGAACGCCTTGGTGTCCCCCCGGATAAGCTGGAGGAGGTGGCTGGGGAGAGGGAGGTCTGGGCCTCTTTGCTTAGGCTGCTGTCCCCGCGACCCGGCCCCGGACAAAGCGGATGAAGATGGATGGATGGATAAAGGAAAATAAATACACTACATTCACTTTAATAACATAACGTAGACGCATTCCTAAATAGAACTGGTGTCTCTGTGGTAGTTATTGCTGCAGTTACAGATTTTGGAAGCTAGGATCTGAAATGGATTTTAGTCATAGGTGAGAGTGAGTCAATCAGGTTTTTCCCAAAGGCAGGTGGATACACCAAGATGAATTCTACAACACTCAACACAGCTCAACAAGGAATGGTGAGGAGGTTCATATTTAGCTTTTGTGTTCAGAGAATATTTGTTTCATGTATATATACAGAACAGGAAAAGGAACTGCCATAGAAGACCAAGCTTTTACATGTGATGTGCTGTTGACTGATAGAGGAAATGCCTGAAGCCAAGAAGTGGCTTGAAAAGGCCTGCTTAAAGGACAGCACAGAAATTCTGATCATGGCAGCAGAAGAATAGAATAGAATAGAATAGAATTCAACTTTATTGTCATTGCACATGCACAGGTACAGGGCAACGAAATGCAGTTTGCATCCATCCAGAAGTGCTTCAGTGATATAGATATATTACAATATATATTAGCAATAGTATAGATATGTAAGTATATTACAGAAATGGGTCTATTATGGTATGTTATAATATACACGGTATGAAGTATGTTGTGAATATTCTATAACTATAAGTATGTACAGGCTCTAGTGAGTACAAGCTATGTACAGGCTATGAACAGGATATAAATATGAAAAACTATACAGAATATGTTATAAATAACTTTACAGAAATCTGAGATATACAGTTATACAGAAATGGGAACTATGCAAGTTGTAAACAGTTGTAGGATTAAAAATTATCGAATGTACAGAATGATTATTTACACAGAGCTATACAGTAGTGCAGTTAAGATAAGTGAGGGTGTAGATAGTTTCTACAGAGGCTATATAAAGTGCTAGTGGTTGTGAGTGGTGGTTCAGTCCATGTTATTATTGTGTGTTTGAGGGTAAGAAGAGGCCATAAGTACTGCTTCCAAAGAAGCATGACAGGACACAAGTTGCAGACTGTGCAAAGTGTGCCCTGCAGACTATCAAACACATGTTGCCAGACTGTAAGATGCAAACTGAGACCGCATGCACTGAGAGGCACAACCAAGTGGTGAGGAACATCTGTGCCTTTGTGACTATGGGAGACACCACCACAGGTGACTGACAACAACAGAGGTAAAGTCCTGTGGGACTTTGAGTTCCAGACAGCAAGCAGCTCTGTATTTATTCATCCACTCACCTAGTCAGCAGGACACTGCATCAGACCTTGTGTCTCAGCTGTACTCTGCTGACCATCCTGCACATTTCTTTTGATTGCCTGATAACCTTGAATGACATAATGACAGATGCCATCTGGTGTTGGTGTTTTAAAGTTAAAATGGTTAAAACCCTTCCTTAATAGTAGATCATTATTTTTGGTTTAACAAACTTTATTTGTTTTTATTTCAAAATTTAGGAGGAATAGACTTTTTATTATGATTTGAATTCAGGAACTTACATATCAATGGTTCCTATCTATTCGAAACTGGTTGAGAAACATATTTTCACGCTACATGTAACACCAATATGGAATAATAGATATGCTCTCATTATATGAAAATGTGTATACACAGAGGATGTGTTTTCCAACGGTGTTTTTTAAAATGAATTATTTTTTCCGACAAGTTATTTATCTTTAAATGTTCAGACGTGTCTCATGTTATTTTTTTTAACATGTATTAATGCTATGGTGTGTGCTTTTCATAGACTTTGTCTGTTTAATCAAGTTCCGAAAGAGGGGGGCGGGGTAGGAGGGGTAAAGGAAACTGTCATCGATTTTCGTCATTACTCATCGACGACATTACCCACAATTCAGTTGGTGGACCCGTTCTGAGTTTCCGGTATGGTGCATGTCGCCTTTTCCCTCGCAGCGCTTGTTCTGTAGTTGGATTTTTGTTTTGTTTGAATCTTAAGCTACAAAACACCACAACTGGATAAGAATCACTTATAGCATTTCGCTGAAGGAGGAGATACAACGAAGCCGCCAAGATGCCGCGAATTATGATTAAAGGAGGCGTCTGGCGCAACACTGAGGTACGTGTTTACATGGCTAGCTTGGTTAGCATGATGCTAACCTCCGAAAGCAAACCTGTGGTCTCGAGTTAGCATAAAGCTAGCTACTCACTTAACAAATTTATCCCGTGTGACATTTTAAGTTCATTTAAATTATCACCAGCTGTGTTTAATACTTTATTTCGTGCTTGTGTTGAGTTGCATGAACGCAGCTTTTTAATTTGCACTTAAACATATATGTTTACAGTTAGCGAATATTTGGCAGTCTAGATGGCCAAAATAATAAACCACAAGACTTCATAAAAGTTTATAAGTGAGCAAAAGATAGGGGATAATATAATTGTAGTTCAGCACTGGGATGAAAATTAATCAGCCCGCTGCGGATTGAGGATAAAAGATTTTGACATGTTTAGTCTTTATAAATCATTTGTCATTCAGTACATCCATTTAATTTATG